GACGCCCGGCAAACTGCGTGCCCGTTTCAGAATTATCTGGTTTTGCTGATCGAAATTTTGTCCGATAGCCTTCTTCTGTGAACCTAAAGCGTTGTAGTAGTGTTTTCTTCAACGTTACGTAGTCCGTGGCATGTTCTGGTGCCATCCTACCAACTACACTCAAGGCCTCTCCGGTCAAGCAAAGGCTTAGTGATAGGGCCCATTTGTCTTGCGGCCAGTCTTGACTAGCAGCGACGCGCTCAAATCGCTGTATATATGCGTCCAGCTCATCGCGTTCCTCGTTAAACGCTGGGATGAGTTTATGTGGACTTCGGTAGCTCTGCGTGGTGCCTACGGGCGCACCCTCGGTAAGCTGCCCAGTAGTTGTGCTACCTGCTGTCGCATCTAACTGATGCAACTTTAACTTGAGCTCAAGAACTTCCTTCTCTGCTTGTAATCTAGCGACTGCCTCTGCCTCGGCTTCTTTCGCAGCATTTCGTTCAGCCAGACGAGCATCACGTGCCTCTTTTTCGCGTGCGCGTTCTTGGTCCATCCATTCTTTTAGTGCTGAGCCACTTAAACTCAATTCCTTTCCGATCGCCGTCAGCTTATCTGCCTCCATCATCGACCGTCACACACACATATGCGATGTGATACTCTCCTTAGATGTAACAAGAGTAGTCCTGTCTCGTGGACGCCAGATATGTCGTGTGTTAAGTTCGTCACATAGCAAGGCGTGTGACGCGAGGAAGATGGAGACAGTGAGCAAAACAAACGGGAGTTATATGGGACGAACAAAAAAACTATTGCACATACAGTACTATAAGTCGTACACGCACGCAGTTCACACACGAAAGAAAAGAGTAAATAGTCTCACAGTCTGTGCCGTAGCCCGGTGCCTTGAAGTGGGACCCGTTGCGTGCTCGGATGCTGTCGTCGGTTGGATTCCAGGTCAGCATACCACTGTAAGGGGCATCACCAGGTCTAGCAGTAGCCGCACACTGTCAGCGACGGCGGCTCAGTGGACGTGGTCAGCAGCTCCGGTCTTTCGAGGGCGCTCGCCGTACCGGAGATGTCCACAGGACCACTCACCGAGAACTCGCGCCTGGCCACGCCGACACGCCGTGCCCCGAGGACGTCAATGGCTCGAAGACTGGAACCCGGCCTTTCGAACCTCGCGCGTAGTTGCGGGTTCGCCCTAGGCTCCCTTGCGTCGTCTTGCCGGCGTCCGAACAGCTTCGTTCTCCGCGAGCGTCTGCTCTTCTTTTTTCAATGGGCGCGCTGCAATGCCTCTTCATTCTTCTCATCTTCTAAATGATGTAGTGCTGTCGTCTGCTATGCTCGCATTTTTAAGGTACTACATCACAGCTATCAAGCAGATAGCTAAAGTCGAACAAGTCCTTGCAAGATCCCAATGTGACTTCACTTCATACCATTCCTACATTATCGCTGTCATCTACTAATATCCGCAGCCTGGTGCCGAAACGGGATTTAGTCTGCTCATTTCTAGATGACAGCGACTGCGACATACTTTCCCTTACTGAAACGTGGCTAAACCCAGATATCACCGATATCGAAATTTTTCCCGATCGTAACAACTTCCACATATATCGAAATGACCGTAAAAATAAGCGTGGCGGAGGTGTACTTCTTGCAGTAAGAAAGACTGTGAAATCATATGCTATCAATGTTCACTCTGATTTAGAAATGATCTGGGTTGCCTGTGTTACAAAGTTCACCACACTACTTATCGGCAATTGCTACCGGCCCCCTGATTGTTCCCATTCATTTGTAGACGACTTGCGCAGTAGCATAACCCAGGCCACTAATTTATGTCGCACCGACGCCATCTACATTTTCGGCGACTTTAACTTTCCCGAAATAGATTGGATCCAATTGTCTTCCTCTTGCCGCAATTCCACGGAATTTATAAACCTTGCGTTAGATTTTAACCTATCTCAAATAGTAAACCAACCTACGCGCGGCCCTAACATCCTTGACCTAATTCTAACGACAGTTCCTGAAACAGTAGGTACCGTTCTTAACATAGATGGTTTTAGCGACCACAGCCTCCTCCAAGTAACTCTTAACATTCCACTATTTTTCTCCGGCACCGACCACAAAAATATTCGCGACTATAGTAAGGCCAACTACAGCCAATTTAACGCTGAACTCGAAATTTTTTACAACGAAACATTCCTACCCCTTTTCGATCGTCGTTCAGTAAATGATAACTGGGTGCTGTACCGAGATAAACTATGTACACTAACTAATCAGTATGTCCCCCTCGTAAAAGTGAAAAACGATAAAACAAACCCATGGTTTACGAAATCTCTCAGGCAACTCAAAAATAAAAAGAAACGTTTATACCGCACAGCTAAACGCCATGACACGCCCTCTGCGTGGCAGACATACAAGAATTTTATGAAAAGCTACTGTGCGGCCGTACAATCTGCTAAACTTAAATATTATTCTGTCGACCTACCTTCCCTCTTGAAATCTAATTCCAAGAAGTTCGGGTCACTTGTTTCTCCTCAACAACATGGCCAAAAAATATCTTTGCTACATGACGACCATGTCCTTCTTTCAGATAGTCATTGCACATCAGCATTTAACGCATTGTTTTCATCCGTTTTCACTCTGGAAGACCATTCCGACGTACCATACGTTCCCGAACTTGACATTGCATACATGGAACCTATAGAAATAACTGCTGAGGGTATTGCTCTTCTAGTTAATAACCTCAAGCTTTCCACTTCAGCCGGCATCGACGACATTAATTCTAAAATTCTCAAAAACATCGCCTCCGTTTCTGTTAACATTTTGTATCACCTTTTCAGGCAATCTTTAGCGACAGGTCAACTCCCTTCTGACTGAAAAATTGGTAAAATAGTGCCTGTGTTTAAAGCCGGTAATAAGCATTTACCCGAAAGTTACCGTCCAATTTCTCTTACATGTATATGCTGCAAACTTCTTGAACACATAATCGCTTCCCATGTTTTCCGACACTTAGAATCAAATAATTTCTTCTTTCTGAACCAACCCGGATTCAGAAAGGGTTTTTCTTGCGAAACACAGCTGCTAGAACTAACAACCGAGCTGCATTCCAATATGAACAGTAACCTTCAGACTGATTGTATCTTCCTCGATTTTTCTAAAGCCTTCCATCGTGTAGCCCATTGCCGTCTGACTTCTAAATTATCTGCCCTCCGATTAGACTCTCTTACCCTATCTTGGCTTCGCAACTTTCTTTCACTTCGTCAGAAGTTCACTATAATTAACAATTCCCCTTCCCCTCTTTCCCACGTAACTTCTGGCGTTCCACAAGGGTGCGTCCTCGGCCCCCTACTGTTCTTAATCTATATAAATGATCTGCCAATTAACATATCTTCCTGCATGCGAATTTTCGCAGATGATTGCATAATTTACCGTCCTATATCATCCCCCGTCGACAACTTAACTCTACAAAGCGACCTTCACCGCATTAATGACTGGTGTAACAAATAGTTAATGTCTCTGAACATGGAAAAATGCAAAATAATCTCCTTTACGCACAAACAAAACGTTTGCACTTTCCACTACACTATCAATAATTCTGCACTATCACAGGCATCATCCTATAAGTATCTTGGTGTCCATTTCACACCCAATCTCTCCTGGTCTCACCACATCACCACCATTAACGCGAAAGCCTCCAAGTCCTTAGGATATCTACGCCGTAATTTACATAGCTGTCCCGCTCACGTCCGTCAACTAGCGTATCAAACCTTTGTCCGTCCACAGCTTGAATTTGCCGCTCCTATCTGGTCCCCTTATCACAACTACTTAATTAACATGCTTGAAGCTATTCAGAATAGGGCGGCCCGTTTCATTTCACGCAATCATGAATATCGCAGCAGCATAACGCAAATTAAAAACAATCTTTCTCTTCAACCTCTGAGCACTCGTCGCGACATTTCCCTTCTTTGCCTCTTTCACAAATACGTGTACACAAACAGACCCCTCCCACTCCACCTCGATGTTCCTTCCATTACTTCACGTAGGTTGCATAATCACTTCAGTTTCAAGCGTCTATACGGGGCAACTGATTCATTCAACTCATCTGCTCTTCCTCGCGCCATACGTTTGTGGAATGGTCTTCCAGATAACATCGCATCTGTATCAGACAATAATTCTTTCCGTCAGTTGCTGCTTACTCTCTTCTCACAATAGACTTGCCACTGTTCTGCACAATTTTTTTAGTGTCGGATTTTGTGCCCGATTAGGTTTGTTGCACACTGGAAATGTTTTCTGTGTATGGGCATAGGTTCTGCGTTTTTTGGTGCTTTTTCTATGGTATGTTCTGCAACTTATAAACAAATTACGGCACGTCGTTGAGGTAAAGCCAGCTGGCTATCTTTGGTTGATGTCGCCTTCATATGCTATAATGACTGTATTCGGTTCCCACTGTCGTGTGTGCACTATGAAATCGCCTTTTCTTTTTTCTTGTTATCGCCTGTTAACTTCAACTTATATTGCAAACCGCGTCATATTTTCATTGTGCTGATACGCTTTGTAACGCGTGAATTAATTTTGTGTGATCTGTAAAACTTCACCAATTACCCCCCTTACTCAATGCCCTGTAAAAGGGCCTGTAAGGAATTTTAAATAAAAAAATTATTGTAGCATTGTAACAACATTCCATTACTATGCAACTGTAGCAGAAACCTACACTACAGCGAAAATATAGCCTCATTATATTACAAAGCTACATCGTAGGATCAAAGCAATATCAAGACCACATAGCAGCTCAATGGTACACTGATGCACTGTAGCGACATTGTAGGCACATTGCAGCACAAAACACGCTGTATATTGTCGCTACAATGCTACTAACACGTTGTTTTTTGTGTTAGATTTCAACCATTGCATAATGCGACCTGAAACCTTTGATAGAACGCTAAGGCAAACAAAAGCCTAAAAAATTGGTTGCCAGTACATATAAACAAAAAATGAGCATTCATATTTGAATGTTGACATACGGTGGACTTGGCGTAGGTGCTGGTGGTTGGTACGGTGGGCCAGGTGGGCTGTAAATAAGATAACTGTAGCAGGATTGCCCTAAATATTTGTGTGCTGCTTTCAAATAAATATTCCGGAGAGTACAAAGAAATCTTACGGTGGTCTCGCCACCGGAGGAAGGCCTGGAGGGGGTCTGGGAGCAGGAGGTTGTGGGGGTCTGTAAGGGATCATGCAATGGTTTCATAGGCGATATTTTGTACGACTGACAAATGGTAGAATGTGGTAAGGTATTTTCGTTTCTTACGGAGGTCTAGCCACGGGAGGTGGAGGAGGAAACGATGGTGGTGGTCTTGCAGGGGGAACTTGTGGTCTGCAAATTAGTCATCAAGTGTGTGTAAACGTTCGAAGCCTGTAAATTGGGCCAGCAGCTACGCTCACTACAGCCTTCGTGGTTGTGCATCAAAATATTAAAATAAGTTGCGGTTAAAGGTTATGAACAAAGATACCCTGTCGGGTATTACCGTGTGTTGAATACCTGTAATACCTGTATATTCACACTTATGTAAGAAATGGCCGGTAAGAACGCAACAAAAATGATTATCTGTAATAAGTTTTCACATTGTGCGCATATAACCACAATTAGGAATTCGAAAACTCAAACAGTTGGCGAGGACACACTATTACACAGTAAACGTGCAAATGTGATCTACTGTTAGAATGAATGGTTATATAGACTGCGCACTTAAAGTGCTTACACACTGTCCCACACGTATTTTACCCATAATTCGCATTTTTTACAATTAGCGGGAAACATGAACCACACTGGTGCCAAACTACTAGGCAATGGTATAGTTTACATTGTTGGTTTCCAGAACTAACAGGAACAACGTTAGTGCTAGAGCTGGTCATGGCGGGCACTTCAGTAAAAATAAACCTCTCTACAAGTGCAATCTTACCTCATTGCATACTATACTTAAGCGCTTTTGAATATGCAATCTTTTCATCGCATTAACAATCTCCGCGACACGCTAAGCACCTGAATACATCTCTCACCTGAAAAAATTCAGCAGATCCCAGGTACCGTGGGAACTAGTGCATGCTTTGAAAAACTAGATATGTGGTACTTTTACTAAAATGTGCCTACCGTTACGACACGGATAGATGTATTACTCAGTAAACATATCTAGAAACTTGAGACGCATTCACGTATCTAAAAAACACGCAATTATGAGAACTGGTTGTTTTTAGTTGTGTATTTTCGAAAGGAAGTTAAGTATAAGTATTTAATAGACGTACAATAGTCTATACATAACATAAGCACTGCCATACTCGCTTAAAACAGACTTTAGTGCATTCTATAGAAGTAAACTTTGCAGCTCGGTAAGTACTGAAACAGATAAGGTGTAAGCCAAAATGGCACAGAGTGCACACTCACATGAGACTGTCACAAAAAACAAAAGGTCTTCCCCCTTAAATATCAAGTGAAACAAAACCTTGTAATTCTGTTTGTTTGTGTTAGGCGGAAACCCCGTCTGAGTGAAAAGCGGCGTATCTCGAAATTGGTGCCGTGACTAAAAAAACTGGTGGTGCCATTGGTAGGGTGAGTCTGCAGCAAAGAATCTGGGATGAACTTATTGTGCCCCTTGAGGAAGTTGGCCGAGAAAGCCAAGATAGTAAGTAAACAGTGTGAAATGAGTAAAGAACGGGAAATGGTGATATTGAGAGGCGCACATTTTATGTGCAGTGTTAGTGCGCGGGCTGTGTTACGAATAACTTCAAAGAATCGAGGTAGGTAATTGCTACTTACGGTGGTCTAGGGAAAGGCGGTGATGCTTGAGGGGGTCTGGAGGAAAGAAAAAAAAAAGGTTTGAAGTAGTATTCAACAGTTAGTTAGGAATTTCAGTGTGAATGCTATAAGATATTACGGTGGTGTGGCCACAGGTGGTGCTGGGGGCTGGTATGCTGGAGGTGGTCGAGGAGAAGGACGTTGGGGTCTGGGAATGCGAAGAAACAAAGCTCTGAGCACTCTGCCACGTGAGATAACTATCGAAAATTATGCAGTATGACTGAATATCTTTACGAAGTGGTGGTAATATTTTCCTTCCATTAATTCTTACTCTACATGAATTTGCGCAATGTACTGTCATTTTGAAAGATAACAAGACACCTGAAGACAATTGAGCTATCGTGTTACTTCGTAGGAAGAGAAATGAGATAAGTGAATGTAAGAGAAAATGCTTTAACAGAGCTATGGTAAGTAAAAGAAGAAACATTTTTAATACAGCAGATACCAAGTAAGACTTTAGGGAGAATTTCCGGAATGCAAGTTAAATGCGCTTTTACAAAAGAAATGAAATGGCAAACTTCCTGCCATGCATCTGCTAGAACGAAGAATGAAAATTAATATAGAGATTCAAACGCAACACATCTGTGAATTAGGTTTTAGGGAAATTAAAAAGCTCCTGTGGTAATAAGGATTATATGATTGTGAACTGATATTGTTTTAGATATACACTCCTTCCACTATTACAGCCTTTTCTGTAACAGAGAAGTGGCTAATAACTTGTGATTGACCACTGTTTTCACAATAAAAAAGATGTGTGGTATGAAGTTGATAAGGTACTGAGGCACAAAATATCTCTTGTATTAGGAGAATCATCGGGAGACAGTACACTTTAATTTCAAGTAAATCAAGCCATGAATTATTAGGTAAATAATAGCGGTGAGTATTCATTAAATATTTAGCGTACTCGAATACATGCATAATCGTAAAAGAAGAGAAAGCTTGAAAGGAAAAAAATCACGGAGGCCGCTGCTAAACATCCAAATGACTTCAAGGCGAAGCACGGCAGAACAAAAAGAGAAGTCGAAATTGCCAGTAGGGAATTGGGGCTCTATTCAAAAGATGTCAGAGTGCGTACTCGTATGCAGATACTCAAGTTACTTTGAGAAAAGGAAATAATTGCTATGGTCACGCACTTACTTAAATATTTTGTTTTTGCCTAAATAGAGAACGTTCGCGGCCAGCGTTTTACTTTCAGGGAAACATGGCTCACTTTAGTTGGGGCAGAATGGAAGAATGACGAATCACCATACCGTAAATGCAGGTTACCAAATTTGACTTGGTCATTGTCAATATGTAATGCACCGTTAAGGCGTAATTATTATCACATCGCACAAGGGCCGCATAAAATTTCACGTGTGGTCTCCAGACAATTGTGTCTGAGACCACACGTGCTAGCAGGGTCATAGGGTGCATAAAAACAATATCCAGCCAATAAATTAACGAATACAGGAAACGAAGAAAGAGAGAGGAAAGCTACTAGACTACCAACTGTTAAGTCACGTACGCGAGGCCGGAATATACAACAAATGCGGTTACACGGTCATGCTACAAGCTCTTTACAAAAAATGAAAAATACAAGAAGCTGACCAAAATTTACTGTGTTTCTGGTGTTGGTTCTTCTTTTATTGACGGGATATATTTTTTCACGATGCCATGAATGTGGTGGTGGTGGTCGTGGTTGTTATCTTGCAAAAGCGGGGTGAGACTGGCCTAGATGGCTGGTAATTGTTCCGCCTGAGCATCTCTTAAATAATAGGGTTCAGTCACCAAATGTCACTCAGCTCAGTGTCTCACAGGAAAGTCATCAGGGTACGTTGCACGCTTTTTCTCGTCGCCGTGGGTCCTTCAGGAAAAAATGACATTTTCCGATGCACCGTGCTTGTGACAACCTTTCTGCAAGCTGCGTATCATCTTTTTTCTTTGTCTGTCAAACTGCGGACACAGCCAAATGAAATGTTCGATGTAATCGATGTCACCACAAAAAGCACAAAACGGGGAAGCGCCTTGCCCAGTCTTGAATGATCAAGCCGGCGTGTGTGCGGAATCGGTTCTTATCCGATAAAGCAGCGTCACTTGTTCTCTTGAAATTCCGTTGATTACGCATTACTGATGCGGAAACTTTGGATCGCCCTGAAGTGATTGCGCATGAAATTTTTGTTGTTCTGGTAATTTTTAGGAGCTGTTATTTTTGGAATGCAAGTTTGTTGTTCGCGTACAAGGATATCAGCTTTTTCATTGTCTTTCATTCCAACGTGTGATGGTATCCACTGCAATTTTACATTGAAGTTCTTGCCGATCAGGTGTTTAATGAGCGCCAGAGATTGTCTTGTGAATTTTGCTCGACGTATCCATCGATGCAGTCGCTGTAACGCCGACTGTGAGTCAGTCAGCACTACCACATCTCTTGCAGAAAGCGGTAGCCATTTTCAAAAAGCCGCGGTGACTGCTGCGCTTTCTACTGGTGTGGACAACACAAAACGATCCAGGCGGCCCGACCATGACATGCCCAGGGAGGGTATGCAGAAACGCTGCGCAGCTATCTGTCTAAGTGCACAGCGATCCCTGAGTGAAAAATTGTAGGTGACCACAGTACATGGGGTTCAAATGGTCGAACACCAGAAACCTTGTTTCATCAGGTGGAACACTACGTTTCGTCGGCAGTTTAGGGACCCTGAAATTACAAGCAACGTCCACAAAAGACAATGGCGGGTCGATAGGGCTCCGATGAGGCGATTTCAAGTCTAAATGTCAAAATGTGTTGAGCTCCGCGAGAAAATGTGAGTTCGGTCTTGCTCTTAGCCGCCGGAGAAGGGCCGTCCTGGTAGAGGACTCGCCCAGTCTTGATAGTTGCGTCAACAAAGCCTGAGACGCCAGGAGGCGGAGTGGTAGAAACTCCGCTTCATCACTTGTCTTCTTGTTTGACGTTGCCTGAGGAACTCCCATCGCCAATCGAAGACCTTTTCTGTGCAGTGCCTCCAAGCATTCAAACTGGCTCGGTGATGGCAATATCAGCGGCAGCTGGTAAAGAATGCAGCTTGTTATGAGCACAACATTTAGCTTAAGCATCGACATAGGATTGTTGCCCCAGCGTACACCTGCCATTGCGACAAGAACGTTGAGTCTCTGCGCAGATGTGGCCATAATACCATCAACCGCTCGTCGCCATAGTAACTTGTCATCGATGGTAACGCCCAGGAAACAAACACTTGTCGCACGAGAAATGAAATGGCCTCTGATACTTAGCGACAGGCGCGTTGATTTCCACCGCACCCCCGCGATGAGCACAAAGGCAGATTTCTCCGCTGATAGCGACAGGCCAAGTGTCGACAAATCGCGTTCAATGATCGAAATTGCGCCCTGTGCTGGCCAGCCTCCCCTGCACTCTGAAAGAAGCTCGGAAAGCAGTTAAAATATCAATCTATGTCGTTGATATCTGCATACGGATCTCAGGCTACTAACATAAACGTCTGGCCCTGATTCAGTGTACCAACTAGGCCAACAATGAGTGTTATTAACATTACGTGCCCAAAGCTAACAGCGAACATCATATCCCAACAATGAGCTGGAAAACAATATGAGGCAATTTCAGAAGTTAACCGGCAATAAGAGCATCGTCGTAACAACGGATCACCATACCCCCTACGCCGACACCCGGCCTCTGTCTCATGATAGTACCTCCAGGGCAGCGAAATTATTCGTCCAGAACATATTGATACATCTCGGTGCCCCTGAAGTTCTAATTACCGAATGGGGTACACCTTTTACGGCAGACCTAACACAAGTGCTTTTGCAATATAGGCATACATGTCATCGAAGGTTCAGCCCGCAGACGAATGGACTCACTGAACTCCAGAATAAAACTTTCTTCAACATGTTCACAGTGTACGTCGACGTGGAACAGAATACCTTTGGTTCCATTCTTTCGAACATCACCTTCGCTTGTGGCTCGGCAGTACAACAAACTATGCACGTGGTGCCATTAAAGTTGGCCCAGAGAAGGGGCCTAGCAACGAAATTTGACGCCATGCTGTCAGCCATCAGCCGCAAGAAAAATCTGGACGTTGCAGTGGACCTTAAACGTGAGGAAGAGGCGAGACAACTCGCGCCTCTTCCCACCAAGAAGCAACTGATGACTGACAGCCCTCATTAAACCCTTTAACGACGCTACTTAGAATACCAGCCCGACGACGGTGTGTTAATGTTGACGCCCATACGCTGACGCGTCTTCATAACGAAAAGCTTCTTCGACGATATTTAGGCCCCTATACAAGTTGCTTCGACGGCTCGACGATGGGGACCACGAAGTTATCCCCGACGGCATTATGAACTGTCATGGCCATCACAAGCAAACTGAAGCCGTGAACGTGGATGGTGCGCGTTGAATTTTACTATGCGTGCGGACAATGTTCAAAACTTGATTTCGAACCTATTTGGTAATGCGCTCCACGTAAAGTTTTACCAGTATGTTTTCTTTTAGGTATTATAGTGATGCTTTTCCAGAGAGATGCGATAAGCATACGTTTAATCTATGGTTACTGCGATCTGCGATAACGCAGGGAAGTTCGATAAGCCATGTGTAAAAGCCGAGGCATTTCACAGACGAGCGCACTAGAACGACGTCCGTTCACACTGTTATTGTTATGCATCGAACATGGCTTTTGCTTTCAGTCTTTCTTTTCTTGTACAAGCATATTCCCAACAAAGCGCTTCATCTTTACCGGCTACGTTTGCTTTCATGCCGTCAAAACTACGTAAGAATTTTGAGTGTACCGGTGAGTATAACTAGTAAGGGTAGGGTACTTTCGGTTTTTAAGGAGGTCTGACACCAGAAATTTGAGGAGGAAGCAATGGTGGTGGTCTTAGTCAATCAAGGAAGTGGTGGCCCACAAATTGAATGCAAATGATTCAATAATATAGGCAGTGGAAGCGCCAACCCTGATTACCACCTGTCTCAGTCGCCTACCCCAAATTTACTACATGTGTGCTCATTTGGCAACTGAGTAGCCCTGTATGTGTGCTGTCTCGGCATCTCTGTGTGTTAACCTCATTTGGCACCAATGTAGCAGTGACACTGTACTACTATTAGCGACATTGCAGGGACATTGTAAAGTTGTAGAGATATTGTGGCGACAGCATAGCGCAAAGCTACATTGTGGCATTGTATCAACACTTAAGCTATTATTTGGTACCAAGCTGCTTTATTTAGTCTAGCGATATGAAAATTGCATGGCAGCTGAAAGCTGCATTGTATCATTGTAGCAATATTGCTGCACTAAGCTGCATAATTGCATTGGAACGACTTTCTATTAGGCTGCAGCGACATCTTAGATGATTGTAGGGATACTATCACAAAGTTACACTGCAGCTTTGCAGTGACATTGCATCCAGATTTTAGCAAAAAGCTACATTATAGCATTGGAACGTAATTGTAGCCACACTGGAACACGCTACGTTGTAGCACTGCAGCAACAGTGCAATTTGAACGATGTAGCATATGCAGCCACATTATAGCCTTGTAGCTAACTGTAACCACCTGGCAGCACAAAGCTACATCACAGCGTTGTAGTGAAATCGTAGCCACAATGCAACAAGAAGCTGCACTGTAGCATTGTAGCTACAATGTCACAAATTCCACGACGCTTTTCGCTGTAGATTTCATTCATTACGCACCACGACCCGTAAATCTTAACGTTCTACTAAAGCAAACAGTTTCCATGAAAAATGGTTCGTACATTTAAACTAAAAAAACAATATTCATATTTAAGCATCCACATGCGGTTGTCTTGGTGACGGTGCCGGTGGTTGATAAGGCGGACCAGGTGGGCTGTAAACGGAGTAATTGTAATAGTCTTTCCATAAAGGTTCGCTGAACAATTTCCAAATAAATATTTTGGAGAGTTCAGAAATGTCTTACGGAGGTCTCTTCACCGGAGGAAGCCCAGGAGGGGGTCTGGGAAGAGGAGGTGATGGTGGTCTGTAAGGGATCATGTAGCTGTTTCATAAGTAATAATTAAGCGAGTATCAAATGATGAATGTGTTAATCCACTCTTAATTCTTACGGAGGTCTGGCCACAGGAGGTGGAGGAGGAAACGATGGTGGTGGTCGTGCCGGGGGAACTTGTGGTCTGCGAATTATTTTTGAACTATACGTAAAGGTTTCAAGCATGTTAGCTATGCATGTGGTTATGCTGACTACCGCCTTTGCAGTCACTGAACGCAATATTAGAATAATTGCGCGCATGGCTTATGAAAAGAGATCGATGATCAGATGCCAACATATGCTGCAAATCTTCTGACTTCTGTGTAAGCTGATAGGGAAGGACACACAGACGACGATCATTTATAAAAAAATTGTATCGTAAGCGCATGTGACCAAAATTGTTGATTTAGAAATTCAGGCAACGATACAGATACTATTCTACTAGAGACTAGCGAGAAAAATCTCCTCTCATAAAGAACGACTAAGCAGGCTGCACGACAAAGGCGTTGACACAATTCTGCATTTTATAATTTAGACACATTTGGCATTATAATATATCTAAAACCGCAAAAACGTTAAGCCTATGGTCGCGAATCTAACATTCAGTGAAGTGTGTGCTGCATAACTACTTCTTTTACAAAACTAACAGAACATTAGTGGTAGACCACGCTAAAATTAGTATTTTTGCAATAATGAAGTTCTTCGCAAGGAAAACGTTAACAATAGGCTTGCGGAAGACCTGAGCTCTTATGATAAATATGCCAAGTTGTCATCGCCTTCTATATTAACGATTTTGCTGCCAGACGCAAAGTTGGGGAATAGAACATGTCCGACCTGAAACAAGGTGTTGCGCTCTCTGGTAATTCGAAGCCGGATGCCTGGTGTTGTGTGTCTAAATCACAAAGCGTGCTCCAGGGCTCAGGCGCGCAGGTATGCTCTTGGAAAGACAGTTAAATCTAATTACTTAGTAGATGCACAATAGGTAATTCGGAACATTATTGCTTCCATACTCGCCTGAAATCGATGTTTCACAAAGCTGTAGAAGTGAAATTGTGGGTCATTCGTTAGTCAGAGAGAACTCAGTAGCCCAAACAGCACATATGGCACAGACGCGAAAGGCAAATGACTTTGCTGCTCAATATTAAGCGAAATTATGCAATCCTGTTTGTTTTTGGAGATGGTGACCAGAAAATGTAATATATATATATATATATATATATATATATATATATATATATATATATATATATATATATATATATATATATATATATATATATATATATATATAAATATATATATATATATAACACATAGGGATAAGGGTTGATCTGTTGCAGCAGACATTTATTGTCCTGTCTTAGTTTCAAGGGCTCGGTTAGAATGTTTTCTTTGAAATAAAATAATGAATTGCTACTTACGGTGGCCTAGGGAAAGGTGGTGGTGCTTGAGGAGGTCTTCGGGAAAGAAAGAATGGTTTGAGATAGAATTCAACAGTTAATTCGGGTGATATAATCATGCATATTGAAGTTTCGAGAGAAAAACAACACATCTTACGGTGGTCTGGCCACAGGTGGAGCTGGGGGTTGGTATGCAGGTGGTGGCCGAGGGGAAGGACGTTGGGGTCTGAGGATGTATGTACAAAACAGTTAGACCTCTGCCATGCCACGGTAAATGCGGGAAGTACACTATAAAAATTATTCCTTGTACACCAGCCTATCATATGGTATCATTTTGTTCATACTGATTCCCAATCTGTGACTCTGCATATAACAGAGAGTTTGAACTTTTATAATAAATAATAACAGAGTGCTAAGAGAGAAGGGCACTGCCATGCAACCTTGCCTAAACAGAAAAAAAATAAAACCAAGCTTAAGATAAATATGTTTTATGTGATTAGCTAAGTGTCTGCTTTTATAAGTTTTAAAAGAAGTGGCAGCAAGAAAAAAACAGAACTTACGGACATAGAATTGAAACAATGAGAAGGAAAGACAAGCGAAAACAATAAAAATGAAAAAAAGAAGAAGCTCAGAACAGAGTACGAGCCGTGCATTACGAACGGAGTGTCAACCAACTCCCCGAACTAAAGGATTACTGTGAGTTCGCGGTTGAACGTATTCTCCGATCAGGGTAATGTTAGAAAGTGCCAGAAATTTGTCACTCTGTTGACACCTATATTGTGTAGGGCAGGTCAGATTCATTTTAAATTTTACACCAACCAAACTGACAACACTATTGATGGAGATATTTGTGGTCGAAATTGAAAATTTGTAACCACAGTGAAAACATAATAGAAAACAAAACTGCTTGACCTCAAGAAAATACCGCTGTTTGCTTTTCATCCTGACGGGCTGCGTTAGCCTGACTACATTAAGCATTCACATATGTAGGCACATGAGAAATCACGAGATTGTTGTAATCGATAAGTCTGCATTATCAAACATTCGTAGTAAATTAAGTAACGTCACTGCGTACACGCATGGTTATGCTTGTGCCTGAACTCAACGGTTTCGTCACGAAGTTGGACGACTGCTACCCATGGTGAGTTTCAAGCTTTTTGTTTACTTACTTTATGTATTGGTTATTTTGTTCACACAGTGGGCGTGATTGTGCTGGAAGGTTTAGAACTGTAGAAGTCAAACCAGGGAAAAAAAAGCACTGCTAAAAGAGATGAAGTGTAATATAACCAGAAACATAACCGCATAGAGGTACGACTGCTTAATGGTTAGCATGTATTCTTCAAGGAACTTCTAAGGCATTCTAAGCGCACCGGCACAGGCCATCAAACATATCAAAGAGCTCTTCCGAATAGGTAATTGCATTATAGAATCTCTTGTTGAAATTGGATTAACGTAAACGCTCACAAACAAAATCATAATATTCATATGAAGTTTCGTAATAGCACGAAAATGTCTAAGCTCTGGTTTAAAAACCTGCCATCCCCACCCAAAATAGAATTTACGACTCAATTTGTATAGCCGTCTGAATAAAATATGAAATCATTATCATACGGTGGTCTAGTTGAAGGTGCTGGTGGCTGATAAGGTGGACCTGGAGGGCTGTAAAAGTGGAAACAGGAGCTTTTGTTATAACTGTTGAAAAGTTTCAGTTTCAAAAAGTTGGGGGGGGGGGGGGGGGGAATTGAAAGTCTTACAGAGGTCTCGCCACTGGGGGTGGCCCAGAAGGGGTCAGTGGCCTTTGTGGGGGAGGTGATGGGGGTCTGAAAGGGACGTTTAGTGCATGTTAATGACTGATATTGGTGATTATGAACTCAAATGAGCGCAGTGGTTTTTCATTTCTTACGGAGGTCTGGCCACAGGAGGTGGAGGAGGAAATGAAGGGGGAGGTCGTGGCGAGGGAAATTGTGTCCTGCAAAGTAGTTAGGTTAGTGTAAACGTTGGAGGCCTCACACCACATGCTAATCCAATGACGATTAGCGTTTCATTCTCATAAGTGCTTTATTTTGATTTATTGATTGATGGAAGTATCTTGCAAGATGTTTCAGCGCGCGAACAAAGGAAAAAAGGACAGGGTGGACAGAAAGAGCGCTGACTTCCAACTAACTTTATTTCACAGGGTGGCAAAAATTTATACGTCTAAAACGGAAGATTACAGAACATGAAGGTAAAAAAAAAAAACAAGCCTAATCTACACAACAGTAACAACACGTGTGACGGGTCCTCTATTGTGGACCACATTGTGCACATAGTTTCGGTGTTCTCGGAGGCGGTCGTTTGCCGGGGATCTGGGGCTTCAGAAGCTTTCAAAGGCGATAGATAGTGCAAAAAGCTTAGCCTTGACTTGTTCTTTTCTGCGAAAACTCACAAAATTGACTGCCCTTTGCGGGTCATTGTAACAGAAAGGGGGACCTGGCAAAAGTCGGTAACACTTTTCTTGCAAGAAAAGCTGAAAAATGTAACAATACACGACCCTTTTCAGGTCAAAAACTCTGACGCTGTTATTGACATTATTGGGCGAACTAACACAGGACTCCAGGCAATGTCTGTGGATATTAAGGACTTGTATTACTCTTTGCCGCATGATCAACTACTAAAATGTGTAGAGGAATCCATAGACAACTTCGTATCATCAGCGTTCCAAACGCGCACTGGAGTTCATAACAGCAGCTTATTAGAGTTACTCACCTTCTATTTGAAGGCCACTTTTGTATCATGGGATGACAAAAAATACTTACAAAAAAGTGGAGTATGTATTGGTTCATGCTTGGCACCCATTCTCAGTGACACATTTCTAGCACATCATGATCGTGTCTTGTCAAACAAACTTGATGGCTCTGTCTGTGGTTTTCAAAGTCTGCCGTTTTGTTGATGATTATTTCGTGTTGTTGAAATGTGACAGTCAAAATATTCAGACCATTTCCTCTGACGTGTTGACTGTTTTTCCGAGAGTGCCTGAAACCATTAGTTCTAACGTATGAATCACCCACTAATAACAACCTGAAATTTCTAGATTTGAAGCTTTTGCTAGAACCCCGACATGTTTACTGGATGTATGATCCAAGAAGCGGCAAGCCACTTCTGCCTTTCAGCTCAGCTCACTCTAAATTGGTCAAGCGGGGCATCGCTAACCTCTGCCTTGCCAACGCCTTAAAGAAGTCTTGCCCCCACATGGTACACCACAGCTTTGCTTACAAGTGGAGCGCCTCACCAAAGCTGGTTACCCCGTGCACGTTCTCGTTGGTCACTGTCGTGAAGCGAGGCGACAAACCAGATAAGCGTAACAGCGTCAGAAAGAGCCGGCCTGTCGCACTACCGTATGCGCACGACGTCTCACACAGGCTAAAAAAGATTGCTTGAGACGCCAACGTTCTTGTTGTTTTTTCAACACCGGAAAAATTGCAGAAGCTTTGCAAACAGGTCAATTCACCTCGCGCAAATTCTGCCGCGTGATTTGTCGCGCACAGGACATGCTACGTCACATGCGCAGTGGGAGTCGTATACTTGATTCCACTGACGTGTGGGCGCGTCTGCCAAACCGGCAGGTGCATAAACGACCGCCTCCGAGAACGCCGAAACAATGTGCACAATGTGGTACAAGGGCATCTTGGCATTCATTGCCGAGATTGTGGGTGCACCCCCCTATTTGGTCAGTGCTCTATATTGGCAAGGCACAGGGACCAGCTTACCCGAAAAATTATCGAAGCCGAAAAAATACACGTGCTAGGAGATAAATGCGTAAGCACTTCATCGCTTGCTTTATCACAGGCTGAACGTGATTACCTGGCTGAGCTTTGAGGCAATAGAGGACCCGTCACACGTGCTGTTACTGGTGTGTAGATTAGGCTTGTTTTTTTACCTTCATGCTCTGTAATCTTCCTTTTTAGACGTATAAATTCTTGCCACTCTATGAAATAAAGTTAGTTGGAAGTCAGCGCTTTTTCTGTCTACCCTGTCCTTTTTTCCTTTGTTCGCGCGCTGAAACATCTTGCAAATATGACTACGCACCAACTAGCCCAGGCTTCCACTCTTGTAAGTATCTTGAATGTGACGACTGAAATAACTTCAATGTGAGCTTTGTGTACATTATAATAAATACAAGGATTAGCTAATAGCTACTTTAGATTGATGCAAATAACATACAAAAGAAACCAATGATGAGAAGCAATCAAACTGAGTTGTAGCACACCTCACACGTGGCACGAGGAGAAGTCACCAAATGCAAACGCTTGGCGCCATGTGTGTTCGTGTTGTGTTTTTTTTGTGTAATTCTTCCGGTAGGGTGCATTCTTATCCACGAACATGCTACAACTACAATCTAAACATTCAAATAGGACAATTCTTCTTACGGCTTTTAAATGCGAAGTGATTAATGCCTATCTATCTATATCTATCTATCTATCTATCTATCTCATCTATCTATCTATATCTATCTATCCTAATCTATCTATCTATCTATCTATCTATCTATCTATCTATCTATCTATCTATCTATCTATCTATCTATCTATCTATCTATCTATCTACTATCTATCTATCTATCTATCTATCTATCTATCTATCTATCATCTATCTATCTATCTATCTATCTATCTATCTATCTATCTATCTATCTATCTATCTATCTATCTATCTATCTATCTATCTATCTATCTATCTATCTATCTATCTATCTATCTATCTATCTATCTATCTATACCAGCTGCCTACATCTAGGAGCTCTCGTGGTCACCTCCTTAACTAGCGTTAAACTATAATACGTATGGGAGAGTAAGATGCTCTCACGAACATGACTTGCTGGTAATGACATAAATAATGGCACAATATCTTCCTGTATGTCGTCCAACGCTTTCCACTCGTATGCCACTCGTATGCGGGTATGTGCCACAGGTGATTGACACACCATCTAAACCCAGGAATGGCGAGAACACACTCGGGTAATTTTCACGAGTGAGCGCTAAGATAAAGCTGACATCGACTCCGTTGACCCAAAGAATGTAAAGAAAAAAAATGTCAGGGTGCTAGCAGAAATCAAACCTGAGCATTTTGCATGGCATCCAAGTATTCTACCACAGAACCGCACCAGGTCTCGCAACTGCTTTTCAAATGAACCGTAAGGTAAATGAAGCGTCGATTCGGGATGCAGTGATGGCTATTCGATTTTATAAACATTACATATGTTTACAATACAGCCCTCACGTCGGTTAAGATAAACTGCAATTCAGCACAATACAATGAAGGTGATTGACAGTTTATATCATCCAAGGAACTGCTCCAACAGATATTGGTAATTTTAAATCGAGAGCGTTATGAAGAATCAGTGAGCGGTAGAACTCAAGGACAGACGAACGGACAAATGATCAGACGAATATATAGATGGATGGATGGACGGATGAACAGATGAATAGGCGGACGAATGAACGGATGGTGTGGGTGATCATGCGTTGTGCTGTCGTATAGTTAGTTACACCTGCAGTCAGTTGTTTACACATATGCTTTCGTTTTTTGTTGTGCAGGTGTTCAGTTTAGGTCTGGGTTTTGTGGGGCACTATGAACAAATGCTAGGTCGACCCTCAGGAGCCTCGCCCCTGAAAACTGCCATCGGTAGCGTTGACCCAACGAACGCATAAAATAAGTATCATGGTCCCAGCTGGCATTGAGCCCCAGCATTCTGCGTGGCAATCAAGTATTCTACCACAGAGCAACGCTAGGTCTCGGAGCTGCTTTTCGAGCAGACCGTAATGTTCGTGAAACGTCAATTACGGTTTCAGTGCTTGCTATCCAATCTTATAAACGAGACATACGTACTCCTAGAATACAACCGTCATGTCAGGTTAACGACAATTGTAATGAAGAGCATCTACTGCAGCTCATTTCTCTAGCAGTGTCTAGTTCTGCCATTCTCGCTGTTTCAAGCACTACATTTCAGCTTACCGCTTCTGCTTTTGCTAATACCCATGTTGCTGTTGGAATCGCTACGCAACAGCAAACATGTGACTGTTTAACATATATCTGTGCATAACGAATTTGTACATATCTTTAACGTCTATTCGTAACATTTCCCAAAATAAAATTACGACACTGTCAACGTCCCTCAGCATGATTAGCATAACATTGATGGCCAATGTACGTTGGATTTGCCGATTTTTTTCTCTCCCAACAACTTCGAAGATCTTGAAGCCGCACCGGCACGCATATGACAAGAACCATGCATTGAACTATCTGTTTAAAACATCAAAACAGATCATTGGCTTAAAGAAGACTAAATGGCATAGCGACCACCATTGTCACCCTCTGTAGCCAGAATTTCGAAGTCCTACAGGCTGTGTGCTACTTTTCGGAGGCTATAAATAAGTTCAGCATAAAATGACCTTTGTTTAACGACAGCATTGCCCGCGTCGGCTGTGGGGTCAAGCATGGCAATGTGCACTTGTTGGTACGTCATTTTCACATTCTACGAGCGCAGTAGTTATCGAAGACACAAAGGCAAAAAGAAATAGCGCCGTGCGTCGTCAGACGTCTTCTTCCCAGTGCGTCCTTGCTCTTTACTGAACTATTACCAAGACTTATAGCGGGCATCACACCAAATACACCTTCAAAGCTCCAACCTTCGGTAAAGGAAGCTACTGAGAAAAATGAAAGAAAATGTTTTCAGAAACATCAGGGCGAAGCGCTGTAAATTCCTGTACAAGAATATAAAAAAAAATATGCTCATACGGTGGTCTGGGTGAGGGTGCGGGTGGCTGATAAGGTGGACCAGGGGGGCTGAAAATACAGGAATGGAAATTTTTTGTTAGCTCTTAAAAAGTTGCAACGAAGATATAGGATTAGGCTTGAAATTCTTACGGGGGTCTCGCCACTGGAGGAGGCCCAGGAGAAGGTCTTCGTGGAGGAGGTGGTGGGGGTCTGTAAGTAAAGAATCATGCGGGTTCGAGGGGAATATAGTATGGACACTTCTCAATATAGAAAGAGAGCAGCATTTTGGTGCTTCTTACGGTGGTCTGGCCACAGGAGGTGGAGGAGGAAATGTAGGTGGTGGTTGTGGCGAGGGAAATTGTAGCCTGTAAAATTTTGGTTATTGTAAAGGTTAAAAGACTTCCCACGGCAGTCTACGTGAATGATAAGAATTTATTTATTTACAAAGCACACAGAAAGGACCGACTAGAAATCCACCGAAATTGACTATTCGGCAAAGAAACGTCTTCTTAAGCTAGTTTCAAATTAGGCTATGCTGCTAAGTTCGCAACAAGATCTCTGACAAAGCCGGGAGCACAGAGGCACTGTTTTCAACCCAATAATTTGATTACTTTCAATATGTATTACAAAACAAGGATCTCTGCTAGTGGGCCACGTTAATGTTTTGCCCCCAGCTTGGGGAAAAGCCGCTTTTAATATGCTTTGGAAAGTTCGGCAGATGTTACCCGTGTGTAACACAAGAAGTTGGAAGCCGTGTTTGGCAGGACATAGACGTTTTGTCGCGAAAAATCCCACCGGCGACCGCCACCAGTACATCAGCTCTGTTTACGACAATATTGCGTCTTGAGCCCACTGACTTTTCTACCCTGTCTTGCCTGCTGCGAAGTAGTTGGTCACTGTAAACTTTCTAAGGGCACTTGACACCTTCGATGTGGCGAGTACCCACTGCAAGTCGATGAGGTAGCACATGTACCTACGTATCAGCATATGTGGCCACATGTGGCTAATGATTGTAACGATGATGATGCTTCTTATTTAATATAGAAGAGGCCTTTGTAGTGGGTTTGCTGTTTTAAACTACCTCATTGGTACGTAGTTAATATCGCGTGACTCCGGGTAAGATTTGACAATTCTGCTGCTCAGTACGACATTTGTTAACGTGACCACGTTAACACAGGCAATCCGTTATGAATACGTGGGCATAATCTTCGCATAATACGTTCGCATAACGAATATAAAGGATCGGTTGAGTACCAGTGTTACATACTTCCTCGTGGCAACTAATCTGTCTTACACTAATAAAAGAACACTTCAACTTCTTGTGTTTTTTAGTAACAGCTGCCTCATGTAATCCAGTGCCTGCACTGTCAATTCAGACATTTGCATTCTCCAAATTCACATATCAGATGTAGAGTTCCTTACGGTGGTCTAGCCGAAGGGGGTGGAGGAGTATAAGCAGGTGGTGGCCGTCCTGGGGGTCTCCGAGGTCTGTGGGCGGGGTATATATGTATTTAGCAATGTTCGTCGATGACCGTCAGTATTTTTATTAATGACGAAACACATATACGAGGCTTGTCTGTGATTTTGCAAGACATTCGAAGGAAGAAACAGGATGGAAAGACGGATTTCAACAAGTCTAAAAGGGCCAGTCTGTACCCTACACTGAGAGAAGGAATGAGGGAGTTATAAAAACAGAGAAAAAGAGAGAGAAGAGCACACATACCCCGGTCACACACCTCATAGTCATTATAACCCCATAAGTCTGTAATCTCCTGTGCAAGTTTCATGATTTCGAAGAGTTGAGCACCGCCTTCATCAAAGTGCTAATGAAGGTCAGGCGCTAACGGAAATCATTAATCTGTGTCACAAGTGATATAGGGAAGCAGTTGTGTCTGTCATATTGCTGTAACGTATGCCAGGCTGTTAGGAATCGTATGCACTAAGCCAATATGTAGATGGAGTAGTCACGAGTACTTTTAAGACTTACAATGTTTCTCCACCTCAACACGCGGTAACTGTGCGAGCTGCGCACTAGGCATGTACTACCGCTGAGAGGGGTAGATGGAGGGTACACTTTCGCGAGTTCAATAGGAGCGTTTCAGGTCTCATATTGGTAGGCATGGGTGCTGATTACGTGAAGACAAGTCTCCGCGAAGATCAACGATTGAAGACCGCATTGCAAGAGCCGTGTAACAAGTGCGCTTGGAATACAGCCGACGGAAAGGAGCACAAAGGGCATGTGGGCTAGTAGGACTTTCAATCTTTTGCTGGGGCCACTTGCCACGTCCTGTAGCCAATAAATAAAACGACAGAGCCTGTGCGTCAGTCACCCATTACCACAATAAAAAGGTTCCTTGAAGTGATCCAGATAGCGAATTTCTCATGTGCTAACATACTTTGAGCAGAGGAAGGACCACCGATAGTGGCCGCATTTCACGAGAGTGGCAAGCTGTGCTTTCACCGTGCCATCGTTAACTGTGTTTTTTCCTGTTGTAGCGATGTACAAGAGAGCCTCGTTGAGCAAAGTCCTGCTTTGCATGAAGCTATTATCTGATGCTTCATATGCCATCACCTATGAGAACGACCTTTATGGCATGCCTTATGCAACTAATGTTGCAATGCAGCCAACCAAACTGCTGCACAACGACGGCCCAACCCTGGAGGTGAAAGGTATTCGCTAACTCCTTTGTCAGCGTAACTGTCTGATTTAAGTATGCACAAGAAGCTACACACTATCGTATCAAACCTTCCGAAAAATTCAATGACTAGCAGGCTTCACAAGAGTTTTTGTCGACGATTCCCGAAATACAAGTCTGTCAACAGTGCTTGGTTCAGGACTTCGACGTACTGAAGTTACATAGGTGACAGCGTAGTACACTGCGATACCTCATCTAATGCAAGGTACATCTTGGTGCACTCGAAGACGAGGCTCTTGCTGAAGGCACGGCCAAATCACGGCGGCTCGGCGGAAGTGGTTTCAAACTTAGTATACAGTTATGCACGCGTTATGGAAATTTGAAACTGTAATTTGTTGCCTTGTTTTTCTCATTTTCACGTGCATCCTCATTTCCCACAATGTTTGGTTTGCAGTATCTTCATGACGATTCTGTTGAATAAGGGGCTTACCACTTCTGTATCTTTTTTTTACACTGTGATGGAGTTTGACTTGCATCTCAGCGTACGATGTGCCTCATGGTATTGGAAGATTTTTTGATGGTTTTTGAATGTTCTACACACGGTGCATATATTTTGCGAACAATGATGTACAACAACTTAAGAACTCCGAGTGCTAGCGCTATAAATATCATTACGCACGTAGAGTCAATGTGTTACACCAGCGCCTTAAATATTAAAACAACAAAAACCATCCTCCACACTATATTTGTAATGTAGATACTTTGTTTAGATGTGACTGCGTTCGCCGAAAAATAATCAACTGTTTACTAGTTTGACATCCGCCTTCTTCAACGTCACGGTCACCGACTACTGTTATCTTGCCGCTATGTCCAGCTGCTCCAACCCCCCCCCCCCCCCAAAGAAAAGGAACATTGAACTACGCGTTTCCGTGACCGGTGATGCATTTTCGCTTAATTTCTGAGTGAAGAATTTCACTCAACTCGGCTAGTTGCGTAATGTGCGCTATTATGCTGAAAGACTGGATGTGTAAAGATGGACACAAGAGAAATGCCAAGACACAAATTTGTGGTGTAATAACGTCTCGTGTACATGTTTGTTTTGCACGCACAGTTTTTAGGCATGATTAGGTACTAACTAAATCAACTCTCTGTGTTTTAAATACGCGTCATATTTTCATCGACAAGTTTCTCAACCATTACGGTGCTGGTAATAGTTTTGTGGGCGAAGCCCGATGTTATAAAAAAATAATAATAAATGAGCATGCGCGACAATATGGTGGCCTGGAGGGCAAAGCTTAAAAGAGAAAAAAGAAAATGGAAATGAGTTGTAGTAAAGATACTGAAAAGTTCTCATACGGTGGTCTAGGTGCAGGTGCAGGTGGCTGGAATGGAGGACCAGGGGGGCTGGAAATAGTGACGTAGTAAATATTTTGCTCAAAAATTTCGCTGAAAAATACTGTCAAAGCAATAGTCGCAAGGAAAGGGACGCAAGGAAAGTCTTACGGTGGTCTCGATACTGGAGGAAGTCCTGGAGGGGGTCTGGTTGGAGGAGGTGGTGGTCTGGAAAGGAGCATTATTCATGATCCATGAATGACATGTTATGCGAACTTGTGAATGGTGAAGAAGGGTAGTGTATTCTCATATCTTACGGAGGTCTGACCACGGGAGGAGGAGGAGGAAACGAGGGTGGTGGTCTGGGTGGACTAACTTGTGGTCTGGAAAAGGTATGTGAAAGATCAAACCACGTAGACAGCGGAAAGCCCCTATGATACCACTTTTGCAGTTCTCGAGCCCAATATTGTTACAGTCGCGCTTATAATGGACAAAAACATATTCTCGAAAAAAAAGGCTATTGAAGTCTAATATCATAAAAAATATTTTTGTGCGAATGAGTGTGTTGTGCGGTCGGCGAGGATAAGTTTACGGTATGTTTTCGGATTCCATAAAAATGAAGTGTGTCTTTTGAAGGATAATCAGAACGTTTCAATCAATGACGCATTCAGACATGGAATCGCTCAGTAATTAAGTAAATGCAATGCAGTTCCATAAATGATGTATGGATATGATCTGTGAGGATCAAGCTTATTTTAAATATAATGTGTACTGTTTGCCCACGCCTTATGTTACAATAAGATCAGTGGAGGTTCAAAAAAAAGTGCAAATCTGTTTAGAAACGAAATATTTGCTGCCCGTATGACTTGATAGACAAATAGGAGGAAGCCCTGCACATCACATTGTTAAGGCTGGAAGCTTCGTAGAAATCGTTCTGGTAATAGTTAATTTCGATCACACCTACAAAAGACTTAATAATTTCTGATCATATAGCATTGTTACTCTCGTTCGCGCCTATCAATTATTTACGAAGCACCACATGAGTAAGTTTCACATGCCTAATCTGAAAACAGGCCCCGCCGCGGTGGTCTAGTGGCTAAGATACTCGGCTGCTGACTCGCAGGTAGCGGGATCAAATCCTAGCTGCGGCGGCTGCATTTCCAATGGAGGCGGAAATGTTGTACGCCCGTGTGCTCAGATTTGGGTGCACGGTAAAGAACCCCAGGTGGTCGAAATTTCCGGAGCCCTCTACTACGGCGTCTCGCATAATCATATAGTGGTTTCAGGACGTTAAACTCCACATATCAATCAATCAATTAATCTGAAAACAGGCACACAACTTAACACATGTTTAAATTGTTGACCGGCGCATTCCGGACTACATAAACGGCGTCTTCTGAGAATGCATAGTCCGAGATGACCCAAATATACGCATTCGCTGCCACCAGTGAGGCATGATTGCATATGGGCTACTCAAAACAAATCGTAGCTTACAGATGTCGCCAGTGCAGTACGCAACGCTCCGTTCGAACGTTCTAGACAAGCATGTTGGGTTCCGTACTATTATTTCTTATATTTAGCATTCAGAAGTACAAATATTCCACTTAAAACATCATAAGCGTTCTGGTTATTGTCATGCACTCAAGTCCGTAGCATTCAGTCTATCTGAATCAGAAATGTTCTTACATATCAAATTGAAGCCATTAAAACCATACTTATTTCGACAGAAACTAAATGAAGATAAACTGCAATTTTTGTAAATGGTTTGACTGAAAAAAAAAAAAAAAACCGCACGGCCTGCATTGAACGCGGCGCTCAGTCACAGCGAAAGCTGGAAGAGCGACCTTTCATAGCTTTTTCGAACAATTCTTTGGGTAACTGCTACAACATGTATACTTGATAATTGCCCATTACGCCATAATTAATTTTAATTTTGGCGCAGTAGGCCGGCATTCACTATGCCATTCTTTGTCATTCTTCGAAGAAGTGTGGTATCCGCTACACACTAGCAAGGAGGTTTGTACAGATTTTTTTATGTAGCGGCTGACGACGATGACGAATTATGCGTGAAGTGGGTATGCGCCACAGTTTACGCATGCGCGCTCACCAGTGATGCGTGATTGCATGTGGTCAAGAACAAGCTTTTGTAATGGCTTGGAGCATTGGAAGACTCGCACGTTCCAGAATTCTCATTGTGCGACGCCTGCAGTTGTTCCTTTGATGTTCCGAAACACTTTGTTACTCATACTAGATATATTCCTTTCCCGACATAAAGCCTGCCTACGGCAAGTTTGCAACAGAGCCTCAAGCACCGTCATCGCTCTGCTGTGGAATACTGGGCTGACACGTTGAGGTGACGGGTTCGTATACCGCTGTGTTCTTGGTGCTTTTATTTGGAAATTATTTTTTTTCTTGTTTCATGCGACAGTATGTACGCACACCGGCGGCGGCGCCGGACAACTCGGTGTCGCACGCGACCGTTGTTGAGACTTCATAAGAGCTTTGGCTGTAAAAAATAGGCTCATTGACAAAACTTTGTCATATAAGATAAGCAAACACGGATGAGTAATAGCTATGACACAGCAACCGATTTCATGGACATGCTTGAAAACTCGGACGCTTTCAACGTAGTGCCACAAGCCCCTTAGAGGCAGCGTACAAGAATATTCGAAAATTTCGACGCGGAAACTTTTTGTTGTCTCGTTTTTTTTTTGGTTTGCTCTAATTTCATGTCCAAAGCTGCTCGAACTGAAACCCCCACCACTTTCAGGTCGATCATCCTGCATGCTGGAACCTGTCGCCGGTCGATTCATTTGCAAAGGTAACGCATTTTAAAAAGTCACATTTGCCGCCGTGCCAAACAGCTATGCAGTGAAGAGAGAGAAGGATAACCTTAGAAGAAACAGGGAGGTTAATCAAAGGAAGACTCCGGTTTACTATCCTCCACTTCGGAAGGAGAAAAAGGCTTGTAAAAGAATACAAGGGAAGAAAAAGAGTTTTACACAGGAGGAAAAGAAAATGTAGTGACTGGAGCACCATCCGAGTAATAGGCAGCAACATTGTCCACGAACAGTCTCAGTTTGGCTCTCAGTCCGGTTTTCGCAGGAACCGCAACAACGCCCTCAGAGATGCAGTGATACGAAGGGGTGGCGCAGAGTAGCCTATTAAGTTTCGAAGGGGTGGAAGCGCGACGGGAGAGGTACGCATCTTTGGCGGTACCGCGATCCTTACAAGAGAGGTCATATTTTATGAGCGCGTGGTGGCCATCAGGATGGTGGGTGAGTGTGCTACAGTTTGAAGGCCTCGATTTCTTTTTTCCTCCAACCTTTTCGCCCTCTATTTTTTCAGCATGGGTATCCAACAGTCAGTATTAAATTTTGTAACCAATATTGTGGCATGATATCGTAATAGGCGAGTTCAAATAAGAAAACGTAGAAAATTTGATGGTGCACGAGCTTGCCAGTTTTATAACCGATATATTGCTAAAACTAGCGTCTTGATTGGTTTAGTCTACGTGAATATAGACAGTGTTTACGTAGAGAGTGAATGCGTCTTATTCAATAAAATGCAGAATACATGAGCACGGTCACATCCGCTAAAATGGTTGTTGCTTTATACTGTCGAACCAAAAATTTAAACTGAACTAGTTGTGGAAAAAAAAAAGAATTCCATGACCCAAATTCTACGTCGTGCACGGTATGTTCCCATAGCAGCAGCTAGTAGAGACAGAAACAAGAACACCGACCAAATAGATTGAGGAGCCGATAGAAGTTTGGTAAGGAGTGATGCGCGAGAGCACGTTTTATGCACTGCAGTTGGAGAATGGGGGCAGCGTAGTCACGACACCTTTACATTAAATAAATGCAATCTTTACTTACGGTGGCCTTGGGAAAGGCGTAGGCCCTGGAGGAGGCCTTGAGGAAAGAAAGAATGGTTCAAAAGAAGAGAAAACAGTTAGTGGAAGGAATGTAGTCACGCGTACATGCTTCTTTATGAAAGCCGTTAAGTGCTTACGGTGGTCTCGGCACAGGTAGTCCTGGTGGCTGGTATGCAGGTGGTGGCCGAAGGGAAGGACGTTGGGGTCTAGGTAGGTTAATTTACACAACCATCAGTGCTCTGCCATCAAAGCATAATTATGTTAAATTCCCAGAAATAACTTCTCCGATATAGCGCATTGATTTATTCACACTAGCTTTATGGTTATGCAGGTACATGCTCCTAGTAATGTTGAATGATAGCAGGATGACAGTATACAGTTGTGTGATCGTACCACTGCGTCTGAAGACGTGAAGAATAAAGGGACAATCATGGGGCGCTTCGTTATATTGTCGCTACGTGGACAGCACACGACGCAGGACCACGGTGCAACAAGGAAAAACAAGGTATGCAGAGAACAGTACAGTACATCCTTGAAATTGTGGCACACAGCCACGCTGGGGGATCGCCAAAAACCGAATATTTTAATATGTCGACTCTTTTATTAAAGGTTGAATTTTGTCTGCATAAAATAAAGGAAGAGAAAATATAAAAAAGATGTTAGAATATGATAATATAGAATAGAAGTAATAAAGTGATTAATTTGAATAAAAGTTAGATAAACTTGGAAAAAAAACTGCAATAAAGATTGATCTTCATAATTCTTTTTTTATTTTAACTTTACTATCTATTACTAATAAAAGCTTTACACTTTGTACCTTTGAGTGAGCATCAACATTTCATTCTAAGATTTTTAATATTTACATTCTATAGCCTCCATAATTCTGTAATCTCATAAGATTTCATCAGAAGACTCAATACTTGGCCAATCCCCCACAGTGGGTATGATCCACAAGAGAAGGTGAACAAGAACAAGATTTTCATACGGAGGTCTAGGCACAGGTGCTGGTGGCTGGTATGGCGGACCGGGAGGGGGCCTGGATGGAGGAGGTGGGGGTGGCCTGTATGGAAGGATTATTTCTGCTTAATACATGACGTGTTACGCGAACTGGTGAACAGCGAAGAAGGGGGTAGTGTATTGTGATTGCTTACGGAGGTCTAGCCACGGGAGGAGGAGGAGGAGGAAACGAGGGTGGTGGTCGTGCTGAGGGCAGTCTGCAAGTTGCATGAAAGAAGTTCAATTAGATGGTGGAAGCGGCCACGCTAGCTAATACCATTGCAGTTGTCTAACAACATATTAAAATACGTGTACTTAGTGTTTAGCGTGGTTAGGTTGGAGATTACAACTAGAAGCTTACGGATTCATTCAATAATGAAAAAGTTTTTGCACATCAACAACGCTTGGTGAGATAGTATTCCACAATGACGAGCAAACCGAATTGATTGGTACTGAAAGCGTGTAAAGAACTATGTTATGATGCTAACACAAACGTTTGATATGTATTGTTTACCCAGACATAGTACAGTTGAACCCGCCTATGTTGAACTCTGGTAACTCGAGCTATACTTCATGTAACGGTTTTAGAAGACAGCAATGCATTAATGTCATCGGGTGGGAAAACATTCGGCTACATAAAACAATTTTTGCCGGAACATTCCATACATCGAACACAGGGCCGCGCGGAATGCCCCCCAGTGTTGGCTACTCCTCCTACAAGTGACTTTCTCTGACTGCTTTTGTTTATGGATTTGATTGAGTGAGTAATTTGATTTAGAGGGTTCCATGCAGAGCAAATAGTAAGTACCGATTGCCATCAATTGCGTTCTCCCACTCCTCGGGGCTCTTAAAGGAAAACGCTTTTTGGTGCGCAAAGCGTTTCAGCAAATAATTGAGATAAGACGGAGCACTCCGTCCTCTCTTAATTTTTACATGCGAATCATCTTGAGAGCGAACTTGATCCAGTGGCGTCCGCGCTCCACTGCGCATGCGCATCCCTCCTATCTCTTCTCTCCTACGCTCCCCCTCTCTCTCTACTGTGGGCATCCCTCCTCGTGGCGTTTGCACCTCTATTGCGCATGAGCGTGCCTTCCCCCTCTATACTCCCCTACGCTCCCCCTCTCTCACCTCACAACGCCGATGCGGTAAGCGCTGCTAACAAGTTACTCGAATGAAAAAAACAAAAAAAACACGACCGCTCGTGCTGCGCAACCGTTCACTGGTCACGCCGTATATATAGATGGTTTCAGATCGCAAGCGTTGTACCCCAAAAAACTTTCGGTCGCCTCATTTACCAGCTCATAACGTCAAAACTGACAGCACGTTTCCTAGTTTTTTTCAAGAGTAAGGAAACTATCTCTGTAGTTTTTAAGATAAAAATAACGTGCGTAATGTTTAAGATAACCTCTTCCAATTTTTATGTAGCTGAAGAAGACATTTATCTTAAAATCTTTTTTTTTCCAGATAAGCGAAGGAAACTGTAGGAAATCATCGGGTTATTTAGTGAAGCTCCTCTTGCCCACGGCTGCCATTTTGGTACATTGGTGAATGAAACAGGATGTCATAAAAGGCCTGTGTTTGTAAACAATGAAGGGGTCTATAGGGCACTACTACCTCTAAGGTAGAGCAACATGGAAGATTTCTCAGGTGCGTGTTTAAAAACAAAAACTCGCAACGTGCACATTAACTAAAAGCGGACTGCGAGTCTGTGCCCAATCGGAGTCTTCTTATATCTCATTGCCTATCAGCAGCGATCGGCACGTTCCAGTAGAGTCACTCCAAAGCAAATGTCCAAACCTTTTTGGCGACCATCTCAAATGTATTTAAAAAAAAATTGTGATAATTTAATGCATTGAAAACAGTGAAACGGTAGAATATTTCGGAGGAAAAAAAAACATTTTTTGATCACGTGGCTGCTGTCTGAACTTTCCAAAATGTTGTTTGGGTGTCATTTGTAAAAAAAATATTTTAAATGTACCGGTCCTTTTTTCTATACCAAATTTGATCTACATATTAGGTAAACGTTTTCTGTAAGGCATTTGAACCCCATTAATATTAGTGCAATTTTTCAGGCACACACGCCTCCAATAATTTAGCCCAAGTGTATTGAGCTTGCATTTTTTCTATTGCGATTGTGCACTTTGTATGAATATTTGAGAATGTTTCACACTGATTGACGTTTTTTTTCTGCAAGTTGGGTATGTGCGTGTTCTACCGTGTTCAAACGAGGCCACGAAGCCTCGACGAAATCTCGTAAGATTATTATGAAATGAATGGTTTGCTTCATGGGCAACATGCAAAACACACAAAAGTCATATCTGTGGTAAAACATTCTAAACTGGCAGCCCCACAACATTCTTTTTTTTATCGAAAGGTCCCATATTCATCAAGCTTACTTCAAAACCAAATGGCCTCTATGATCACAGTTGGCGTTAATAAATGAACTAAGAATCACTACCAAGGTTTAAAGCTACGTGTCTGATCTGGAAGAACACATGTAGGCAGAAAAGAGATACTTGGGGTGCCTTCCTACCTAACAATGATAATAACTTTCTATCTCGCACAATTTCAGGCATTTACCGCCCACCCAGTACTTTGTGGTAGTGAACGGTGGGTAGTTATGAGCGTGACATAAAATTCTTCATAAAACATTAGTGAGTGACCACACAGCAAACGGAAACACGAGCAAAGTGGATCGGTATAGTTGTATGTCAGAGGGACTCTCCAAGTCCTCTTGTTTTCTCTAAACTGATGGTGTTTCTATTTCTACTAAGAGGCAGTCTCAAAATATAGCAGAAGATTTAAAAACTGAAATGCAGCGTCATGAATTCTGGTACGCAAAAGTATGCATCACTCACACTATCTCAATGAGGCTAGCTACTTAAAAATTACGGGAAATAAAGAATTTTGCATAAAGATCTTCCACAAATTATTGAATAAGTGCAAAATAAAATTCCCGATATATTACGAATGCAATATTGTCCTAAAAGCGTCGCTGCCTAATGCTGTAGAATGAGAAAATTGCAGGTCAAGTGCAATTAAAAAAGAGAATTAAAATTTCCCAGTGCTAAAGAGCACGCGCCCATACTGGAAGACAACTAAAGAGCAAGCTCTTTCGGGACTATCATCAGGAAAGATTTTGAATATCTCTGTATGAACAGTGACGCTGACCACTTCGTCATAGAGAAAGTTGGCATTCTTGGAAAGGCGTACGGTGAATGAAAAGTGGTCGTATGGCCACTCGACAGCTGAAATTCCTTGTGCGCACGCCTTCCATTACGGCAATCGATCGAGGGACAGCTTAGATACCGACAAAACTGAGTAAAATGGCAGTAGAATAAAGGGTTATGAGCCCATCTCATGTGAACTCTTAGCGTATGGACAGGGGTTTTGGCAAAGATGGTGCTGCTTGAGGAGGTACTGAGGAAAGACGAGGTGGTTTAAAAAGAGGAGGGAACAGATCTGTTCACTCCTCTTTTGTAATATGAACATGCGTATAGAATTTTTTTTCGGGAAAGCCACAAGGTCTTATGGTGGTCCAGGGGGCTGGTACGCAGGTGGTGGCGGAGAAAAAGGACGGGGTCTGGGTAGGTAAATTTACAAAACAATCAGAAATAAGGCATCAAAATTAAAAACAAATGAGCAGTAGTAATGTCATATTGAACGCGCATATATAAATTTGCTTTGTTCACAGTGATTACTGCTCCAAAAGTACAATGAGCACATTTTAAGGTCATATAGGAGGACCACAGGATGAGAGCAGAAAATTATCGCAGCATTAAAAAAAAAACTGGCAAAGAATCATCGGCTGCCTAAATATATCATATTGGATTAACCTGGGTCTCAGCTTCTTGAGTTGCACGCGAAGTGGCAGTGAAGAAGAGACTGAGCCGCAGAGAATAAATATAATTATATGTAAAAATTTTCAAAGAATCCTTCAAACGGTGTTGTTAGAAGTTGAGAAAAATGTATTTCTGGAAGGTGAAATATGTGGTAACTGTGATGCAATGCAGCTGCTTGTGTAGAGTATAAAAGAACCACGGACAAAACTTGACAAAACGAATGTCATGCCCCAGAATGAGTTACCACGTTATGCTCTGCTCCGTTCAAGAAAATGTTACAACACGAGAGAGGCGCCTTGTATAAGCACACCTATACCGACCACGCGATTTTTTCTTCGGCGTTTTAGTGCATAATCTGACGTCTTGTAACTAGAAGTTCTGTGCGTTTTCCTTAGATCCTGAAAAAACTTAAGAAAAAGGTGCAAAAAGCGCCCCGCCCTTAGGCTTTTCCTTTTCATCCATTGCGGCACACTTGAGGTATCCACCGAGATGCAAAGCGAGGCGTCCGATCGAGAAGGCTATGAACACACGACCCTATTACGCTATCGCGTTCTACTCGTGAAGCGATGCTCAAGTGTCTTTCAACTTGTTGTCTGTTTTCAAGTGCTTGATTTACATGCTTAAAAAATCGTTGAGGTATAGCGCTTGTACCATGTTCTTTTTTCTCATCTTCGTTCAACGGGCTACGGGCCACAAGTGCTTATACTCCTTTTCTCGATGTGCTTCCTCGCAGCTACCCATAATCCATTCTCAATCTATTGCTACTCAGTTACGCTGCAGGTTATTTCGTTCACACGGGCAAAGATATTGCAGACAAATATATAACTGTGGGGCTCGTACCACGTGAAAGCTTATCTATAGCCTGAGGAATCAAAGAAAACATGTTATGAAACACAAAAGCATGGCGGTATACACCGCTAAAGATAAATGTAAGATTGTACTCATACGGTGGCCTAGGCGATGGTGCTGGTGGCTGATAAGGCGCACCTGGAGGGCTGAAAATGTGGAAATAACAAATCTTGCGTTAGGTGTTGAAAAAGTTGCAAGGTAGATAGTAATATTGGGTTTGAAAGTCTTACGGCGGTCTCGCCACTGGTGGTGGTCTTCGTGGAGGGGGTGGTGGGGGTCTGTAAGGGAAATTTCGTGTTCTTTAAGACTAACATATTCTATGTACTTCTGAACTCAAACGAGTGCAGTGGTTTTGCTTTTCTTACGGAGGTATGGCCACAGGAGGTGGAGGAGGAAATGAAGGTGGAGGCCGTGGTGAGGGAAATTGTGTCCTGCAAAGTTTTGATCGCGGTAAAAGTGAAGTTGAACACCACATGCTACGACACCGACCAATATCGTTTAATTCCACGAAAATGCTTTATTTATGCATTCCGTTCAGGATTGTCGCTTAGCGCTTAACGATTCATGTTTATAACACAGAAAAGAACGTATCCGAGTGGAGAATAGTATTGAAAGTGAAGTATAACGCACCTGACAGGTGACACGAGGGAACACACAAAATGCGCACACTTCTTTCATGTGTGTGTCTGTCGTGTTCCACTGTGCAATTAGCCGAGCGTTGTACACCCTTATCCACAAAGATGCTATCACGATCAATTCAAACATTCAAACAGGACCATAACGAAGCGTCGAAGAGCGGGAATAGGCCATAATATGCATACAGCTTTCACATGCGTAAGGAGTACACACATCATGAAGCGTCTTCAGAAGGGAGTTGAATTTCAAGCATCACGATGAACTTTCCTTTCAGGATGTCTGCGTTGTTTTTTGGTGATATATCACCATGCCTATTAAATTTATTCATAGAGTCTCGTAAAATTCGTGAATGAATCAGTATCCTACGTGTGTCATCATTCTCATGACTTTCACGTATTATTAAAACACCAAGAAGGGCACACATGCTGGCAAAAATACTTCGCTCCGTTACGAGTGCTGCTCTCATTTTCAGGGACACGTGGGTGAGTAAGCGATCTGTGATTAGGGCCTACCGGTCAGAACATCAGTGATAGGAAACGCGTCGGTTAAGAGACACCACTGGTAGACGCCGATGGTAAGTACGACTCGTCTGTAGAATTATGTGCGATGACCACTAAACTCAAATGACATACATTCTTTTCAATTGTTATACAATATGTTAGCATCATAGCCTATCTGAAATGGAGTGGTTATGTTAATTCTGAAGATTGTGGTTCCGTTCCATTCTCAGCCACGGTGCACATTTGGATGGAATCAAAATGGAAGGATACCTACGTACTAATATTTGAGGGCATTATATACAACGCTGCGTGTTGAAAACTAACTTGGTGTCCTTCCTTACTGTGTGTCTTATAATCAAAATAGAATTTTAGAAACTTAAATGAAGAGACCTAATACTTAAATCACGAAAGCTTGTATTGCAGGTAAACCCTAGGTCCACGTACAACAACACGATGTCATACAGAGACTGAAGTATCGAGATGTTTTTCTTTGTGTGTGTGTGTGTGTGTGTGTGTATGTGTGTGTGTGTGTGTGTATGTGTGTGTGTGATTGAGATGTGGTTAAGCGGATGCAAGAAAACATGGCTTCTTTCAATTTGTTCTCAGTTTGTGCGTGTCTTTGCGCTTTCCAATATTATATGCAATATATGCAAGATTGCCGTGCCCGATCCATCTTTAAAGTAGCAGATATGTTCTTTGAATCGGTCTGAATAACCCGTGTATGGTTTTTTCGAAGACAGACTTCAGGGCAATACAGCGTTAAAAAATATACTTAACATGGCGGCACCATGCGCAATCAATAATATGACGTTTTACATTGAATGGCTTTGACAGCCGTCGGTCGTGTAGCATGCTGTATCTATCGCCGGAGTTCGTGTTCTTACTTACTTTAAAAGACGATAGCCTTTCTTGGGGATCTTCAACGGAAAAGTTTTGGTCTGTCTGTCTGTCTCTCTGTCTGTACATTTGTCGGTTTGTCCACCCTTAACGATACCCCAAATGGTCCACCCCATCCGCAGCGCCCACCAATACTCAAGATTCAGCGTTCATACTTGTGCGATTGTCAATTAAAAAGTCATAATTGCGCATATTTGAGGCACTATAACAACAGATCAATATTCTGCATGTGTGTATCTTACTAGAAGAGGCATGCATAAGTAATTCTAAAGACCGTAGCGTTTATCACGCTGCGCTGATCATGCGACGCTTGCACTAAAAGGCAAGTGCTTCCAACGTTTTGCTAAGACGACACGGCAGTGGCACCTACCCGCCGCCTTGCATTTTACACCTTATCACCCATGAGACGCATGTGCACGCCGCCGCGCTTCGTTTTCCAAGATAACTGCCAGATGGCGCTTATGTCTCACGTTTGACGTGACTTGATGCGCTTGTTCACCTTCGCTGTATGCTCGAGGTACTGTAACGCAGCGCCTCCAGAGTACCATTCACCAATTTTCTTGCGCAGAACACTAATGAACGTTTTGTTCACTCTCTCCAGACGCAACACTATCGTCTTTCGACGACATTTGCAGTGTAACCTGCAGATACGGGGCCATTTTTTTTTTCTTATAGCCACTTCTGGATTATTGACTGCACACCGCCATACGCAGAAGAGCATACCAAAAATTGTCCAAAGTCAATACGGAAGCCCGAGACGCCGAGTGCGCTGGTTTTCTGAAGGCGAAGGAATTATTTTGACATAAAATTGGCTCTGGTTCTTGGCTGTAACGCTCGTGTTTCAGTCTGTGTTCTTCGCTCACAATTCAACTTTAAAATTCAAACTTATTTTTAAAAAGTATAAAAAGAGATTGAAGAATATATATTCTCAAATATTACGCTATTGTGGCTTGGATTATGTAGACAATTATTGAAATAATATCATACGGTGGTCTAGGCGTGGGTGCTGGTGGCTGATAAGGCGGACCCGGGGGGCTGAAAATGTGGAAATGGTGAATGTTTTTAGCTGTTGGAAAGGTGCAAGGAAGTTGGTAGGACTAGGATTGAAAATCTTACGGGGGTTTGGCCACGGGAGGAGGCCCACGAGGAGGTGGCCTTCGTGGAGGAGGTGGTGGGGGTATGTAAGGGAAATTACATGTGGGTTGATGCCTGCATTAATGTGGTTTCTTCAGTATGAGAACAGAGTCCAGAATTTTTTATTTTCTTACGGAGGTCTGGCCACAGGAGATGGAGGAGGAAAAGAAGGTGGGGTCGTGGCGAGGGAAATTGTGGCCTGCAAAGTTGTGGTTCGTTCGAATCAGAAGTGTCTTTTTAATGTACTGAATTGTTTTGTTAATGTTTTACTATACTGGTCAATAAGATTTCCTGGCAGTTGGAGTTACAGATCCGAAACCCTTTCCAGCTCAAATGCCAAGCAATCGTCCGTATCTTTATTTTGCTAAATCCAGTCACCTAGCTCGAATAAATAAAGCCTTCTTCATTACCGAAACCAAAGAATCATCGGAAGCCGTCGTTAGAAAAACATGTTGTACACTTGAATTTTTTTTCATTCGTTGGACGGCACCACGTTTTCCGGTTTTATGTTCTCGCCGTAAACATAACATGGCATCCCCGATGCCATCTGCACCATGTGGGGACAGAAACTTGCCATTTCGTTTTCCGGGAAATATACGCTAGAAATATTATATTTTGTGGCAGTCCAAACCCGCAAGCGCTTTCAAGAATCTGCTATTCTACGATAATAAATGAAAGCTGTCGGATCTCAAAATATCGACAGCTAGCTGCTATTTTTCATCGTTTCGCAATACATTGCTTCAGGAGCATGTTGCTGTGCTCGCAACACGTGAGCACAGCAAACACGGGGAACACGTTGACACTGCGTTTAACCGATTTGCTTCCCAACTAGATTGACGAAAACAAAATGCACTCTGCGATGGGACAGTGGTAGAGCTGCCATCGACATAATGTTTATCAGCAATGCACTTCTCTAAGGTCTTAGAAAAACGGCAGGTGCTGCACTCTTATAGCACAAGAAGGTGAAAGCCGGGATAAGCAAAGCGTTGAGGCTCTATTGCTCGCCTTACAGCCACCGATGACCACTGCCGCCAGTAGCTGGCGTGTGCCGGCCATCAAAGCACCGTCATAGGGTGCCTTAATAGGTGTTATCCGCTTAGGGTGATGCCAGCCTTTGCACCAATGGACATGACCTAGAACGGTTCTCGCGCATTTTATCTGAAGCTATGGAAAGCTATTTTGAAGTTACTGCTCAACAGATTAACCGAAACTATTTTGGTTCTTGGAAAAGTGATTTTACGCTATTCTTGCAAATAGTTCTATGAACATTTAACATTATTTTGATGAGAATTGTATATAGAAAAACAAAACATAATTTGGTGGTAATATAGTAGAGAGTAACTTTAACACAAAAAATGAAGCATCAACTTCACCACCAACAGCAACTGGTCTTTCTTCCTGATTGTTTAACTAGTTATGCAAAATTAAAAATCAAATACGTTATCTCAGATAATGTATTGCGTGCTTTATAAATAAACGTTTGGTATTTAAAGGAAAACACAATTTAACGTGGCAGTAAATCTTTACTTGGAGTCTGAATGTTACCGCAGTGTCTAAAACTTCGGAATATATGATAAAGACGTTTTTGACAGTCTTTGAGCCGATAAACTAGAAAACATGATGTATCATGTCCATTATTACAATTGATGTTAAAAAAGGAACTACCGGACTCACAAAAAATGGTTACCAAAGAACAAAACACGGCGAATTAGGCTTTGCTTTAATTGCAATGAGCTTATTTTCTCTGAAAAGTGATAAGGTGGGTATGAGAGGGGGGCGGGAGCTGTTCCCGGATTCAATGAATCTGGCCCTCTTTCAGAGTAGACTGACTTGTACCTTAACAGCAAAAATCGTAAAAGCCACCATTGATCCGTGAGCCGTGAACACAAAATTCTCATCATCATGGGCAGGTGCATTCTTTTTGTGTCCCCTTCATCGTCGTCGTCTGTCGTTTTTTTTTTCATCTTTTGCTTCGATTTCTGAGCGTGTGAGCCGATATTTTAGGTGCGGGTTCCATTAACCTCAGTGGGCGAAACAATGAATACAGGGAGGAAGATAGAAAGATAAATAAAGATCGAGAAAGAAAGATTTTAGTGAGATGAGAGTCGAACCCGCACACTTACGATTTGAAGTAAAGCCAGTTAACCACTAGGCTGCAGGCACGCATCGAACGTGATGAAAGCATTATCTTGTACAGTACGTTAGAAAAAAAAGGGGGGGGGGAGCTGGGAAAGGGAAGTACGGGTGAGGAAGACAGATGTAAGGGTGAAAAGGAGGAGCAAGACGCAAGAGTTAAGTACAGCATAGAAAGAAAGGAATAAAAAAAAAACGAAAGACAGAAAGGGAAAGAGGAGAGAAAGAAATAAAAAACGAAAAAGAGAAGATATCTTAAAAAGAGTAAGAGAGCTATACTGACTGAGAGAGAGGAAGGAGAGGAAGAGAAAGAAGATTGAAAAGACCGAGAAAGAGAAACCTGTGAAGAGAGAAAGAGAAATAGAGAGAAAAAGAAAGAGGGAAAGAAAGAAATAGGATAAACGCAGGCAAGAAAAACAAAGAACAGGTAGAAAGGAGAAGAATAAAAAAATAGAGGAAGCAACCAAGAAAAATAATTGCGCAACTTTGCTCAACAGCAAGAGCGAGGACTGCGTAGGCGCCCGTAAGCTTTGTTGTCTCTTTCAGGAACGCGCTTCCACTTCAAGAAGCGCTAATTTTTTCATGTATAGGGTGATGAGTTCGTCACTAGCCTTTGAATCATGCGGTTAGTAGGCAGATTTCGAAAGGAGATCACAGTTACCATTACGGTGGTCTTGCCACAAGAGGAGGCAACGGTTGAGCATGCCTCCTATAAGAATACATCGATTAATTGGTTCGAAAAATAACATTCATTCAAAATGTGTAATTGTGTATATGTCCTTATAGGATGTGAGAGGAGATTGTCTTGGCAGTTTCAGTGATTCCCGGTGAGGTATCATATAAAAGGCGTCATTAAAGTGAAAGCCTTAGGTGTCTAGGGTGGCCGCGACCTTAGCGACTGTCCTGCACGAAGGCGAGCGATAGGCGACCCGTCACAGAAAACCTTGGTGCTGCTTGGAGCAAAAAAAATAAAAAAAATAAAGAGGGTTAGAGCCACAATCTAACTCAACAAGCTGCGTGCCATTTAAGTATCACACCAGCATGCTTGGAGTCCTCAGGGTAAACTGAGTGGTGTAAATCTTGGAAAACATTATTACACACTTAAAATTTGTTTTTCATTCCTTAGCAGCACCACGTTTCTCGCTCTTATGATCTCCCAGTAAACCCCTTACACTGAGGATCTCCCATTATGATTAATCATCAGCCACAGTATGAACACATCAAAAGCCTTGTAGTTACTTCGCTGAATTGTGGACACTTTCGGCAAACGCGAAGAAACGCAAAATTTTGTAGGATCGACCTAACGTCAGACTAATGTATGTACTTTCTCGTAGCAGCTCGCTTAGCTCAGATGAGTTCAGGCATGTTTGCACCTTCTTATGTTACAAGAGTTTCACGCCTGCGAAGTTCTGTTTAGCGCCATCATGGTTAGAGCAAACCGCATAATTATCTTAGAGCATATAGAGGTGAGGTGTAAAGCTGCTTACGGTGGAGCAGCTGAAGGAGGTGGAGGAGTGTACGCTGGAGGTGGTCGTCCAGGAGGGCGCCGGGGTCTAGGAATAGGGTAAAGTTTGTTCTATGCAATATTTGCCATAAAATACTGCCAAAAAATAAATATTGCGAAACAGCTGTAGGAGCCTCTAATGTGATATTTCTTGTATGTGCAGTGCTAAAGAAGAGTAAGCGTTATCATGTCCTCAATATGCCTTGCGAATCACAAAGGGGGTCCGTTTTCCGAATGAGATTGCCGTTGCACTTTAGGGAGTTCTCAAAAAGGTGCCCAAATAGTTTGGGACCCCGAAGAAAGAACGCTGAGGCCACTGGCCATGTGCGATACCCAAACAGGCTTTCGGTATTGCGTTAGGGACGCTAAAGATATTTATCGAATTTAACGGGAACCTCAAAGCCTGCCGCAAAAGCCTTGCGTCAGACAAACTTGACGGCACCCACTGAAGTGATGGCTCTCGGCCAACGCTAGAGTGGCCTAGAACAAGGAGTGTCCAACGCACCATAGACCCCGGTCAAAAACTCTTAGCTCTATGCTTGACCTAAAGCGAATACACGCAAAAGGTTTTGGGGCCTCAAACTTTTGGAGACGCTATTCGAAAATTCCTTGTATTTAACGTGAGTACTCTAATCCCAAAAGCCTCTTGTACTTGAAAATTCACCACTTTTTGCACTTATTCTCCGAGGCAATGCACCTGAGCTTTACGTGCGTTGTTACGGAGTACTGTACAATGCTGGTATCGTAACTGCTGTCTTCGTAGTATTGCGCTTTTTTGTACGTTCTTCACTTGTGTATATTCTACTTAACTGCACAGGTATCGCTCTACAGTTGAGTTCATTTTCAATACAGGTAGAATATATGTATATACATATATATATATATATATATATATATATATATATATATATATATATATATATATATAATAAAGTGTGCTGTTTCGCTCTGACATAGCACTCCAAACAAACGGATAAAATATGCTTTTGAGTTAATAGTTTGCTATATATCCCCCATTAAAAGTGAATTAATTTCTGCGCTGGGTGACACAGTATAGTGTAGGGCAAAGCAAACAACTACGTAGTAAGCCATACACTAACAATTGTACTATTCCGAATTCCTTTTCCAACATTAAAAAGATTCTTCTCTCATAATAACAGGTTATCTTAAAGAGACACCGCAGCAAAAATAAGATATTTATGCGCTGAAGAAGCTGCACGGCTGGCCTGAACTTAGAGGGACCGACAACCGCTTTTAATGGGGCTTGCTTCACCAGTCCGCTTGACGATCATAGGGTTTATTTATGAGATAGTTACGCGAAAAACGCTGCGAAACATTCACAAACAATATTTCTTCATCGGGAGTCAATTTGAAGTTGTGCACGTAATTTATGCTGCAAGCGGTCAGAGGTGAACGTGACAGCGCTTGGCGTTTCTCCGCTGCAGTGCACTACATGTGCCTGCAATCCCAACGCATGCGCCACAGCTAGATATGTTCACTTGTTCTGAAGGCAGCGCCACTTCTGAGTCTCAACTACTTCCCTCTCGTAAGCATCGAAATAGAGCGGGGATGGATAACAATCTACATACTCTGATTTCTAGCACTGATTGTGGTGCTCGTAAAAGCATCAGGCTATGCACAGCAAACGAAGAGGCTTCATTTGGTTTTCTGTTCCCATACGTGCATCTTTTTTACCTTTTGAACTGTAATGCTTTTTAATAAACTTAATATTCGGCAGTTGGCCTTTTCTTTTGTATTTTTGCAATTTGATATGTATATGCTGATGAGTTTTGTGCATTACTCTCCTTACTCCATGGCCCTCATGGGACCGGTAAGGTACCTTGAAATAAAAATAAAAACTGTGAAGCATGAAGCCCTTTACGCCAAACTGCACGACATATGGGCTTCTTGCGACCTTTAATTACAACCTAAATATACATGCCTAAGCAAATCGCTAAAAGGGCGCTGGAAACTGCCCCAATAATTAACTGACTTTCGATTTCAGCTATGGTCTAATCCCTCATTCTGTAAGCTGTCGGCCCCTTCAACCTTATCGACCTTCCCATTTAGGTTATGCCTACCACAGCTTTATGAATACATCGGTGTGGAAGGCGAAGGGGACAATAAAGGCTCTGATGTCTGAACGAAAACAAATGAATTCGTGCACAATGGAATCAATTCTCAGAGTGAAGTTGGGACGACCTCAATCGCCACGCAACTCTCGACACATTGCGAGAGCAGAGTTGTCTTTATCAGGTAAAATTAGGGTAGAACCTGCCAAGACGGCACTGGGGCGGCGAAAGGCTAAAAATGAAAATTACAAAAGAATAAGACATAGTAATGGTATTAAAATGTTTTCATACGGTGGTCTCGGCGCAGGTGCTGGTGGCTGGAATGGTGTACCAGGGGGGCTGAAAATGTGCAAATGATATTGCTGCAAACGTTGGCTGAGACGTTTCAGCTAAGCAGTCAAGAGACGCCAGGAAAGTCTTACGGTGGTCTCGCTACTGGAGGAGGTCTGGAAGGAGGAGGTGGTGCTGATCTGTAAAGAAGTATTATTGCTGCTTCATGCATGAGGTATTATATTGTTGAATAGTGAAATATAGTAACGCATTCTCGTTCCTTACGGAGGTCTAGCCACGGGAGGTGGAGGAGGAAACGATGGCGGTGGTCGCAGGGGAGGACCTTGTGGCCTGCAGGTTATTGGTGAATTGTGCATAAAGAGTGCGAGCAAGCACATAGTGCAAGCAGCAGGCTGACTAGCTCCTTTAATGTCGTCCAAACGAACGTTAGAATAAGTGTGCCTACCAGTGATAACGGTAAGCTGGCTGCTGCTTGTTTAGTATTGAATTATTGGGATATAACTATTGGATTAGTGTTTAGGTCGGCAAGCAAGAACACACCAAGAAAACTTTTACGGCCTCTATCATTATCACAATACTTGTGACGATGATCATGCTGTCTTTATAAATAACAGCCGATGACATGCCATTCTGCAATAACAGGATATGCAGTCTTTTTATAGTGAAAGCTTGTAAACATTGTCTCTGAGGAAGATGCTAATACTATTTTGAATATTTATACCGTATCCTAACGTAATATTGCAAGGCAAACCGCGAAGCTTGAAAAAGAAACGCTGTAACGCTGTTAAACACAAAATATTTGCGACATAAGCAACTGGTTAATCGATCTGAAGGAACCTCTGGGCCATGACGGGCCGAGAATGGAAACTCAGTAAGAACCATTCTATGAAAGATTTAATGCATCACACCCGAATTAGAGATAACTGCTTGAATTATACACTAGTGTCATCACCGTTCATGTTAATAAATTATGTACGAAGCACTAAGTGTGTGAATTTATTTTACCTGTTTAATCTGAACGAGAGCACTGCTGTTCTTACTTGTACTATCCGCGCTATTTAAGAAAAAGATAAAACTCTTGGAAGGTGTGTTACGACATGTCGCATGCAGGAGCACTCATTTGAGCTGTCTCAAGTATTTGAAATACCTAAATGCAAATACTTTTGTAACAAACAACATAGTAATTGTTCAATTGATGAATAGTAAAATATATAAATAACGCCGTAATTTCTAAATGTTCTTGCTAAATGTCTAGAACTAAATATATCGGCTGAGTACGTATTCAATAAGAAAACAGTTACGGCCAAATGCCACATGTTACACGCACTTATCAGATGAAAACGAGTGACGAAGCTCATTTCTCTGTTTTATCTCAAAATGATCTGTAAATTTGTTAATGCATACTTAGGTTTCGTATTCATGATGGTCATGATTTCTGTATGATAAAATTGGCAAAAAGGGCGAAGATGGTGTTATGCCATTGGTTGAAAATTTCGGAGTGCTGAATCTGGGATACGCTTGTGGTTCTGATTAGAAAAGATTGTCGACAGAAAGTCAAGATACTGGCAGAAGTCAGTAAATTAGACATAACACTGGCATAAGAGGTGTTTTGTAAGAGCTAAACTGTGTGGACTCTTTGTATGTGGATTGCCCCGCCGCGGTGGTCTAGTGGCTAAGGTACTCGGCTGCTGAACGGCAGGTCGCGGGTTCGAATCCCGGCTGCGGCGGCTGCATTTCCGATGGAGGCGGAAATGTTGTAGGCCCATGTGCTCAGATTTGGGTGCACGTTAAAGAAAGATGGGTCTTAAAATGAATCTGCAGAAAACGAAAGTAATGTATGACAACCTCGGAAAAGAGCAGCGCTTCGAAATAGGCAATAGTGCACTTCAAGTTGTAAAAGACTATGTCTACTTAGGGCAGGTAATAACCGCGGAGCCGAACCACGAGATTGAAGTAACTAGAAGAATAAGAATGGGTTGGAGCACATTTGGCAAGCACTCTCAAATTATGACAGGTAGATTGCCACTATCCCTCAAGGGGAAGGTATATAACAGCTCTATCTTGCCGGTACTTAGCTACGGAGCATAAAACTGGAGACTTACAAAGAGGGTTCAGCTTAAATTGAGGACGACGCAGCGAGCAATGGAAAGAAAAATGGTAGGTGTAACCTTAAGAGACAAGAAGAGAGCAGAGTGGATTAGGGAACAAACGGGGGTTAAGGATATCATAGCTGAAATCAAGAAGAAGAAATGGACATGGGCTGGGCATGTAGCGCGTAGACAGGATAACCGCTGGTCGTTAAGGGTAACTAACTGGATTCCAAGAGAAGGCAAGCGGGTTAGGGGGAGACAGAAGGTTAGGTGGGCAGATGAGATTAAGAAGTTTGCGGGTATAAACTGGCAGCAGCAAGCACAGGACCGGGTTAACTGGCGGAACATGGGAAAGGCCTTTGTTCTGCAGTGGACGTGGTCAGCCTGATGATGATGATGAAAGAACTCCAGGTGGTCGAAATTTCCGGAGCCCTCCACTACGGCGTCTCTCATAATCATATGGTGGTTTTGGAACGTTAAACCCCTCATATCAATCAATCAATCAATCTTAGTATGTGGACTATGTCCATTACCGACAGACATAGTAACAGTTAGTTACTTACGGTGGTCTGGGGAAGGGTGTTGGTCCGGGAGGAGGCCTTCAGGAAAAAACAGATGGTTTAAAATAGGATTGAATAGTTAATGTAGTGAGAATAACCATCTGTCTAGATTTTTGTTCTAAAAGCCATAATGTCTTACGGTGGTCTGGTCACAGGTGGTGCAGGGGGCTGGTATGCAGGTGGGGGTCGTGGAGAAGGACGTGTGGGTCTGGGTATGTGAGTGTGAAAATAATTCAGTATGTGGTAGTCAATGCATAAGTACAACAATTTCGCAGCAGTAGTAATTCGTTGCACACGAGTATATGACACAGTATAGTTCCTACTAATTCCTACACTATTGCTCTGCATGAGTGTGCACCTTGCACAGTTATCTTGAAGAATGACAGAATTATGACATTAACTTTTGTTATCGAACTAATGTTCTTGAAGAGAAACGAGAAAAATCATTGGTTAGTTAATTATTGGAAATATCTGTAGTAATGCAGTGACTGTGCAATGTAGCCACTTCCCTCTGCTAGAACGGCACCCTGCTGTAGCCGAGACACGTTTTTCACAATGTCTCACAGATGGCACACAGACACACACACGCGCACTCGTGCACGCGCGAATGGTACATGCAGGTTTTTGATCTAAAGCAAGAGTCGCATGGCCTCCAAGATACACGCCGCGCGCTTGCCATCTTGGAGGCCACAAAGCGCCTCAGAATGCCTCACAGATGGCAGCACATCATCTAGCATTTGCCGTTTGCTTGATAAACGCCTCTCGAAAGGCATGATATGTTTTCCGCTAGATGGACATGGTTGCCCATTTTTAGAGCTGTTTAAAAGTTCCTGTGTGTTTCTAGCAGCGAAGGGTGCACTATTGCGGCCTTTTTCCACGTAGTTTGATGGCCTCCAAAATGCGTCTACAAATCGCCGAATAGGTTCGTCGTGACACCTGTCGAGCAAAATGCGTTAAGGAGACTCCTTCCACTACAAGGCATTTATGTAGTGTTTTCCCCCCATAGCAGCTGCAAGTAACGTCGTAGCTTCGAGGTGGGACACCTCCTTGCCACGCGAATGGCCTGGGTTTCATCTTCAATGGAATTTGAAGTTATATTCTTTATTTTATTTGCTTCTTTCTCAATTTTTCGCTAACAGACGATTTTTTTATCACAACCAATGGTGCCGACGGCGGAATTCCTGTGACACGAGCTCTCTAACGCTATCGCGTTAATATACTCGCAGAAATGAAAGACACGGCGCGGCAGCGCATTCGATCAAAGCGGTGCAGGTGCACCCGAGTGCGCCACTCCGCCTGCACCACAGCGAAGAAAGAGCGGTGCCATGGCCATGACGGCAACTACGGAGCGGCGAGCTGACATGCTTAGCAGACGATGTTGCAGCGCTCGACAGACTACCAGTAGATCACTGTGCGCATGCGTCACTAAACTTCAATGCGCTGTTGCGCCGGCTGCAGTGGCGCTCCACGGAGAGCAGCCACGCTGAGCCGTGTTCACTCTAGGAGTGTACGGCACTGTACATTGGGGAACTTATTGCAGCAGCATAGCCAAAAATAAAATCTTTGACGACCCATGTGTAGAAGACTCTAGGTGCCCCTTAATGACTAGATAGGCGAAAAGCAATGAATGTGATGTTTCCTATAAGTGTAGTAGAGTTAACGTTTGCTGGGTAGGAGTTCCCAAAAAAGAGCAGAACCTATTTTGGTTTGAAAGATGCTTTCATCATCATCGCATCCACCTGGTAATATTTTCTTGCCGCTACGTGCACTGCAGCTACCCCTGCTGCTGCAAAATAACGGAACGTGGAGCGTTTTCACTGCAGAAACAGCATCGTTGTTGTAACATCTGAAAGAAGCATTTCATAATGCATCACCGCGAGTACTACTGACAAGATTGAGTGATGGGCCATTTGCATACGAGCAAAATTTACACAATAAATAAACAGAAGCGGACTTATTGCCACAGTAGACAGACACCTTGGTGCTCGAATCCACAATACAACAACACTTTGCAGAATGAGGTGTCCCTCGACTTCTTGCTACATTTGTAACACAGATAAATTATAGCTGTTTAAAATTTGCTGTCAAGAAGCGCTGCACAATGCTTACATGCCCCCTTAAAGAAAAGGATAATAATGTGAAAATGAGAAAATAGTTCGCTATATACTCACTCCTAAAGGTGAATTTCTGCTCCAATAAGCACCATGCATCATAAAAGGTGAACTGCCTTACATGTAGAGAAAATTTAAGCTCTGCGTCGGACGAAGCCTACAACACATCGTGCAGCAATATGTTCCCGTTGAATCGTTGAAAAGATTTCTCCTCCTAATTATTGCCCCGGGTCACCATAAGAAAGTAGAGCCTCAACAATGACTCAGAATGGTAGCGCAAATAGGTACACAGACGGTGACAGATCACGACGGGACCCAGCGGCTCTCTTTCTGAACCTCTGTGATTAGCCACAGAGCAGAATATTGTGGAGTATCAGAAGATTAAAAAATAAATGAAAGTTTCAAGCAAAATGAGGCATAATATATTATTCAAATGTTATCGTACGGTGGTCTTGGTGTAGGTGCTGGTGGCTTATATGGAGGACCAGGAGGGCTGAAAATGTGCAAATGATGATTTTGCTGCAAACCCTGGCTGGGCAGTTTCCAACTAAATATCCCCAAAACAGTACGGAAGTCTTACGGTGGTCTCGCAACTGGAGGGGGTCTGGATGGAGGAGGTGGTGGTGGTGGTCTGCAAGGAAGCAATCCCGATTCGTGCATAAAATAAGTAATCTTTTACAGCGGTGAATGGTGAATTAGTTTGTTTCTTACGGAGGTCTGGCCACGGGAGGAGGAGGAGGAGGAGGAAACGATGGTGGTGGTCGAGGTGCAGGAACTTGTGTTCTGAAAATATTGGTCAAATTGTATGCAAAGCTTTCAAGCATGTACTAAGTGCAACGGAATAAAATGGTTATGGCCTTTACTATCGGCTATCCGAATATTACAAGTGTCCTTGACGGTTATCAAAGTAAGTGTATTCTTCGAAGCTAACTTATATGAAAGGCGCAGCTGGAAGTTAGTGTTCAGTGTGGTTGGGAAAAAAACATAACAGTGACTTGTTTGGAGATTCCATGAATATTGTTTTTAACGATATCAACATGCTGCATAAACAAAGGTTCTAAAGATAATATTCTACAATATAAAAGCAAATAAAATCTTGTTAAAAGATCTTGTTAAAACAGTGCAAGATGAAAAATTTTACGCCATTTCGCTGGACATGGTATGATCCGAGACACCTCCAAACTTTAGGAAATAAGTCAGAAATGTATTGGGATGTGAACTAAGTGTTGCATGGCTAAAGTGCCAAGTCAACAAGGAGGACATCTGCGCTAAAACCCGATAAAACTAGGAGCTGAAAAAGTCATGTGAATGAATGCTGCACCTTTATTCTCGAAGAATGCACTGCTGTCATTGGTATTGACAATTTATAAGCTTCAGTAACGCAATTAACCTTTGCAAAAGCATGCGAATAATTGTTCTACGCATACGTACGGTTCACTATAGGATTATCCCAGTGGGGCTAGTATTTAAAAATACCTGAATAAACACTGATCCAATAAAAATAGTAGTATACATAGCTAGGTTTACTAAATAATGATGGCTACCTAGCAAGCTCAGACGAAACATGTGCGATAATCTCCATTATGCTTAAGATACTCGCCAAAATTTTCTTCCCTAATATCAAAGAACAAAAAAAAAATGTGGTTGAACTTTGATTCAAAGAGCGAATGTATAAGCCCATACGCCTCAAAGAATACATATCTAACGACAACAAAAGATGACGCCTTTTCCACCTTGTACCATGACAACTCCTTATACTGACTAACTCGTGGTAGAGGGGAGTGGTGTATCAAATATTTGAGGCGTCAGTGCAGTTGGTTCGCACAACTGGGGTGCTTCAATTGGCATAACCATTCGGTTTTCTTTGAGAGAACTTCGTCAAGAAAGATCCAAAAATGCCACAGAACTGAGTCAAATGGTTATGAATGCAGTAATGGGTGATTTCTAAGAGACCACCTCATGTACAATCTTAGTGTGTGGGCTATGTTCCACTTTACATGAAATCACAGTAAGTAATTGTTACTTACGGTGGTCTCGGGAGAGGTGGTGGTGCTTGTGGAGGTCTTGACAAAAGAAGAGGTAGTTTATATTAGTATTGTACAATTATTGTAGGCAACGTGATTATGTGCATGCATACTAGTTTCGCGAGATGCATAAGGTCTTACAGTGGTCTGGCTACAGGTGGTGGTGGGGGCTGGTATGCAGGTGGTGGCCGAGGGGAAGGCCGTTGAGGTCTAAGTATGTGAATGTGAACAGTAGTCAGTACTCTAACAAAAGAAACTACAGCACTCTCACAGTAGTTATCGTACGTTAATTGCGGCCAACTCAGCCTATTTTGTTCATAGGCATTTTCACTTTATGGTTCTGCATGAATGCGCACCTTGTATACAGGGCTATGGTAAATGTTAACACGTCGCTAGCAGGAAGTGATGCTATCGTACTACCGCGACTCAAGTGTAACGGAATACCCCGTTGCTTTGACAGGCGATACATCTCGGCGCAAATAGCCTCATTCTGGTAATTCATCCATGCGCTTACGGAAGGCCCGTTCATTGATTCACACTCAAGACGGCACGAGGTATTACTTTCTAGCATACCTGAGTTGAATAACAAGGGAAGAAGGGAAAACTTTATTGGGCGACCGAGTTTGGATCCACTATGGACCTTGGGCTACCGCGCTCAATGGCAACACTGTATACACTCGTAAGCATACTTCAACTAGATCTCAATCGTTTTATCAGGAGGTCTGGTACATGATACCCATGATTAGTTCTGAACTTTTAAACCGAGAAGCATTTTAAGGAACCACGCTGTGGTCGAATTATGTCTCGCGTTGCTATAGCGCAGGTCCCTAGCTTTCTATACATAAGTCCAGCAGGCTGCTCGCCTGTAACGCGACCGCATGCTTGCCAGCGTCGCCAAAAGACTACTTCTTCAGTCTGAGCCAGCGGAACACCAGTGTCGGTGGTTATACAAAGATCTATAGAACACAGCGGCAGAGACGAAACGCTAGTGGCGGGAGTTGCATGTACCGCGTTTGGAGGAGCAAACGGTAGCAACGCTACCATATAGCAGAAGATAGGTCATTGCGAAATAAATAAAGAAGTCACAAGAAATGAGCAGAAATTGATATGGATTATCGCATAACGACATGTAAATAACAGAAGAGAGCAAATATTGATAAAAAGATTACGATTGAACAAAAAATAGCAGATAAACACACACACACACACACACACACACACACACACACACACACACACACACACACACACACACACACACACACACACACAAAACCACGAAGAAACACTGCCGAATCAATGCTCCGCAGTTCGTACAATTTTGATTTTAGAACTTGATGAAACTGGTTTTCATTTTTTTCATAATTTGTATTGATTAGTTAGTTGATACAGTGGACATGATAGCATAGACAAATACGCAGCTGTAGAGATCATTTATCGGGAAAAGCAGACTGCCCATAAAATTGGAAGTCAATATATTGAGAAGCATGACGGCACATCGGTATGAACGAATGTAGAGAAATATCAAAATATACACCTACGGTGGTCTAGGAGAAGGTGTTGGTGGTTGATAAGGTGGACCTGGGAGGCTGAAAGTGTGGAAATAATGTTGCTTATTTTAGCTTTTTTTAAACATTCGAAGAGCACAGGAGGAATGGACGTAAAGTAATCTTACGAGGGTCTCGCCGATGGAGGTGGCCCAGGAGGGGGTCTTCTTGGAGGGGATGGTGGGAGTCTGTAAGGAAAATTTCATGCGGACTCATGGCTGATAAAGTATAGCTGATATAAGTTCAGTGCAGGGTTTAGGCGTTTCTTACGGTGGTCTGGCCACAGGAGGTGGAGGAGGAAATGGAGGTGGAGGTCGTGGTGAGGGAAATAGCGTTCTGCAAAATATTAGGCCACTGTGAAGGTTGGAAGTCTACACGCCATATGCTACGCAAATCACAGGTGACGTTTTATTGTACCATAATAATTTATTGTCCTCGCATTAGGTACCAGTAGTAACTCTCTGCTCCGAAAGCTTGCTGCACACAGCATACATAGTATTTTGTTGGTGAGTAATATAGCAGCCAAACTAAGGGGCAGCACGTCCGACATATGGCAGGAGAAAACACACAAAAGGCACAGAGCTGGCGCCACCTATGCTTGTCTCGTGTTCAGCAGTTTGACACAACAAATTGAACAGATCTGACAATAATGCTAGGCAAAGCATTCATGACACTACACTTGCTTTTTAAATGTAATTTTAAAGTCACTATTCAAGGGAACGAATGATCAACCTTTCCATCAGGCCTGTCTTAGCCTACAAAATCTGAATTACGAGCACAATTCTCTACAAATTGAGCTACGCGCGAAGGTTTTTGTCAATTCTAATTGATAGGTATTTCTATGTGTGTAAGTTTTTTTAGTGTTAGACGGACCTCCTCGTAGCCCAGGCGGCGAGTTTGGAATAGCCAGAGGAGGTGCACGGTACGCGATAGCGTGGCCAGGTTATCACGTAGGCTTCAGCTTGTGATTCCAGCTTTTATTGGCTGGTCAGCATGGTAACCAGTTGCAAATAAATTGAATTCCTGTGTGCAGTGAACGCCCACGCCGACACACGGCCAGCTAAGAAAGCTTCGCAGGAACGTCATAAGCTGCTGTCCGCTTTCTTTTGCAAGAGGAGGTGGGATCACGTGGCCCAACCTAGCACCGCCCATGTTTTCAGCAGTTACCGCATGCCCAATATAATCGTCAAATTTGCCCCTTTAGAACTGGCCCCTTTGTGTAGACTACAGTATATAAATATCAAGATATACTCATACGGTGGCCTAGGCGAGGGTGTAGGTGGCTGATAAGGTGGGCCTGGGGGTCTGAAAACATAGAAATGAAGATTTTATTTTTATATGTCAAAAAGGGTTCAATGAAGCTAAAAAAATGGGCGTTCTTGAAAGTCTTACGGAGGTCTCGCCACAGGAGGAGGCCCAGGAGGGGGCCTTCGTGGAGGAGGTGGTGGGGGTCTGTAAGGTAAATTTATTCTGTGTTCATGGCTGGCGTATTATGGACACTCCTAAAAGTAGAGAGAGTGCAGGGTTCTGACTATACTTACGGGGGTCTGGCCACAGGAGGGGGAGAAGGGAATGAAGGTGGGGGTGGCGGCGAGGGAAATTGTGACCTGCAAAATGTTGGTTGGGTGATCATGAAGGTTAGGTTACGCCAATGGTAAGTCTCGCTTTATTCTATCGAAATTGTTTCTTCTTGGTCTACTAAATAGCAGAATTTGGTACTACATTCCAAATTCATCTCATACTTGTATTATCTAATACTCGAATACTGTGTAATACTGAAGTGTATATGGAAGTTCACCATCCAACAAGAAAATTTTTCTAATTTAGATAATCTTAACCTAACATGAAGTAGATTTTCTGAAGAAACACAGCATCTTCTTTTAGGAATTCTAATTGTTGCCTAAACCGCAAATGAACCAATAGAAACTAAAGAGGGAATTTGCATGATAGCTTCTAAGAACAAAAAATAGAGAGATTTACGTGAACTAGAAAAATTAGGTGGTAAAGAAGAATTTCAAAGCGAAACTAGAAGAATTAGGTGAAAATGGGGACATGATCTATCATCATCATCATCATCATCATCATCATCATCATCATCATCATCATCATCATACTGACTACACCCCCTGCAAGGCAAAGGCCTCTCGCATGTTTTGCCGATTCACTCGGTACTGTCCTTGCTGCTGCCGCTTTATACCCGCAAACTTCTTAGTCTCATCGGCCCATCTAACTTGCTGTCATCTCCTGAACAATGAGCTATAGTTACCTGGTATTCAGAATAATTTCCAAAGACTAAACCTAACGAATAAGCAGATAATTTTTGAAGTCGATCAGCCAAATAGCTTGATTGGCAGCTAAAAAAGGCTTGTTATTTGCAATAAATAAACTTAAACGACGTTGAATTTTCGGCAGATGAGGAAAATATAACGTCATTGAATGCATACTGCTAAAGGTTATTTTGTGGGCCATCACAAGCTTAAAATCATATTGGGCATTATTGAAAACGTAGAGTTCCATATTTCGACAACTGGCCTTGCAACATCCGCCATGTTTTGTAGTACGCGCAAAAGTGCATACATTCTTTTATGAGCACTTGGGCTGCTTTCTGCGGTGTTTCTGCTATAATAGGGAGTTTAAGACTAGCGCACCGCAAGCCTTTGCGGTGCGGTCGCTGCCACTGCGCATGCGTCGTAACACGAGTCAGCGTTCGTGTTACATCTTAGTGACATAGGTAAGATTAAGTAGCTGCATAGTAGCACTTCTTGAAAAACAGTTCAGTCTAATTATTGAACAGACGCACAATAGTTTACACAGAACATAACCTCTACCATCATCGCGTAAAACTGACGTCGTTGAATACTCAGAGCTAAATGCTGTGGCTCAGTCAGCACTTAAACAGAGAATGCATAAGCAAAATGGCGCAGCCTAGACGTTCAAAAGGCACGGCCACACCGACAAAAAAAAAAAAAGATAATCCCCTCCCAATATAAAGTGAAACTGTGCAATTCTCTTTACCTATACAAACGGCGGCTAATTCTTGCTTCACCGAAGTAGTGTATGTGAATGTTGGTGCGCAGTAACTGAAAAACTGATAGTGCCATTGGTTCGGATGTTCAGGAACGAGAAATCTGGGCTGAACTCACCCACCCCACTAGAAATAGCAATGAAACAGTGTGAAACCAGTCTTTCATGAACGTAAGGGGTCATCTGTAGTTGCACAGATTTCGTGTGCACTTTTTAGTGCAGGGGTTGTGTTAGGAACCTTTTATATAAATGAATTTAAGGTAGGTAATCACTACCTACGGTGGTCTGGTGAAACGTGGTGGTTTTTGAGGAGGTCTTCAGGAAAGAAAAGGTTGTTTGAAATACGATGGGATAGTTAGTGTGAGAGATACATTCATGCAGAGGAAGTTTTTTAGTTAAAGCCATAACACCTTACGGTGGTCTTGAGACAGGTGGCGCTGGGGGCTGGTATATTTTGTACGACTGATGAAAAAAATATAGTAACGTTATTAGTGCAAGCGGCTATGTGACTATGCAAGAGGGGAATCTGGCTACCGCAGTGTAACACGCTATTAAAAGAAGTGTGCTTTAAAACTTGAGAAAATATATTTATTGTTGTTTGCCAACATATGTTGCCTAGCTTCGCATGTGTGTGTAGGGTGGCCGGGAAGGTCCAGGCAACCACCGTCATTGATGTAGGATCCCGGCAACGGTTTTGGTCATTCTGTGTACACAATGAGCTGGTGAAGCAAGTTCTCAAGATAATTTGAAGGCTGATTGTGGCTGTCTATGTAAAGTGCGTAATTTTGTTGCAAATCGCAGCAGTTCAGCCAAACTAGTTTTCAGCTGCCCGCTATAGGCGAGGAAATACAACCACGTACTGTTAAAAGCAACAGTTAAAACAAAGTAAGATTAAGGTGTTTAGATAGCTCTGCCATAATAGTTAACCCTTAATAACCCTGATAAAAACAGCAAAAAGCTTCAAGCCCACTGTTGCCAACCTACTAAGCAAGAAATGTTTGCTGCGTAGCTAATTTCTAAAACTATAAGGAGTGACGTGAGCATTCATATGTGCCAGGAGTAAGCCTACAGTAATAATAAAGACACATGAGAAAAAAAGAATGTCGCCGTCAGGCTTACTACATATCTAAGTGCCTCTGTCTATGCAGTGCCATTATCACCTTTTGCATTAACAATTTCTCTGCGAAACATCAAGTGGGTGAATGTCTGATCAATGTACTGATTCTTCTAGTCATTAGCACATAAAGATGCCGAATATTTGGTGTCAAAACCGCGAAGGGTGCTAAGGACTGTGGTGCCGACAAGTTCGTATCACGCGACTTAACGATTTCAGATGCAAAGCAGCTTAGGGTGGAGCTCAATCCGGTGTGAGGCGTGACTACCCTTATTGCGCATGCGCATCCACTCCCCGTTTCTCTCCTCTCCTAGCTCCCCCTCTCTCGCGTCGCAGGGCTGACGCAGGAAGTGTCTGCTAACGTACGCTTGCTCCTATCTCCCTCTTATAGGCATTCCTCACTACGGCGTTTGCCCCCTCATTGCGCATGCTCGTCCTCTCTCCCTCTCTCCTACCCTCCCCAACTCTTTCGCCTCGCAACGCCGAGCCAGGCAGCGTCTGCTAGCGAGTTTCTTGATTAAAAAAAAACGGCTACTTGCGCTGCACAACCGTTCACTGGTCATGCCGTACATTTAGGCACTTCATCTTGACCCCCAAGGGAGTGCCAGTGAGTGATTTCTTCTGTGCATTGTTGAACAATAACAATTCGTAGCGTGCGCGTTATCTAAAAGCAGAATGCGGGTCTGTGTGTTCAATGGGAGTCTTCAGTCTCTCATTTCCCATTACCAGCGATTGGAATATTTCAGTAGAAAACATTGGTCGATCACTGCGCGCCTCTCCAGGTTTCTTTTCTGCGCAACGCCACGAAGAGTGCCAGCGTCATCGTTGCTGCCAGTGTAAGCGTTAGCACCCGCTGCTTCGCATCTACAAATGGTTCCCTTGAGCAGTGGATGGTGTAATTTTTTTAGAGAAAGATAAATAAAAACGTTATTGAATATACGCACAATTCAGAACAACCACTGCCATGCTGGCCTCAAATTTGGGCCACTGATTGCTTCAGAAGTAGAAATTGCGGCTGAGTTAGTATTAAAAAGTGAATTCATCATTTTGAATCACATAGAATGCATGAACACATGGCTTGTTCACGAAGAAGGTCTTCTTCTTTCAATATGAAATTAAACTCTGCTACCATGTTTCTTTTCAAAGACGATAACCGTTTTGTCTGAGACAAAAGTGTAGTATCTGGCAATGGGTGCTATGGCTGTCGGTTCGGACAATTGGGGAGCCGAAGTTAGAATGAACTAATCATTCCCATCAAAGAAAGTCATTGCATAAGCGAAGATAGCGACCAAACAGTGGAAATGTGTATGACCCGACAACAAGGGGTGATTTTTGTTAGCGCGCATTTCGTGTGTGTTCTTAGTGCGTTGACCGTGCCCGAATCTTTTCTATAAAATCAAGGTAGGTAATCGCTATTTACGGTGGTCTAGCGAAAGGAGGTGGTGGTCCGGAAGGAGGGCTTCAGGAAAGAAAGAATGGTTTGAAATAGGATTGAACAGTTAGTGGGGGTGATATAATCATGTGTAAAATTTTTTTTTTGCCTGAAAGCAATAACATCTTACGGTGGTATGGCCACAGGCGGTGGTGGGGGCTGGTAAGCTGGTGGTGGCCGAGGAGAAGGACGTTGGGTTCTAGGTGTAGGAATATACACACCAGTCAGTGTTCTATCATGAAAAAGTAACGACGGCAAGTACGCAGAAGAAATTATTCTTTGCATGCGAACATATTACAATACGTTGTACATACGTATTCTAACTCTTTGACTTTGCATGAATATGCACATAGTACTGTTATGTTGAAGAATATTAAGATTGTAGAAACAATCGTGGCTTTGAATGCCCTCCCTGAAGAGAAAATATAACTATGGAGCTGGACGAAAAACTACATGACTCGCACAGCAATAAACAGATATGGCGGATTAGCGCTAAACGTTGTTTTTTGAAGGATCTTTGAAAACATTGAAGCTGAGCAGGAAGAGACACGAAATCATAGCTGTGAACATTTCCAAACAGAT